TAGACTTATATACCGCTTCATGGTATATTCACACCCTCTCTGAGCAGTTTATAGAGTCAGCCTATTGCCCCCAAACATTCTGGCTCTTCATTTTACCCACCTCGGAAGGATGGAAGGCTGAGTCAACCTTGAGCCAGTCTGGATTGAACTGCTAGCTGTCAGCAGAGTTAGCCTGCAATACTGCGTTCTAACCACTGTGACACCATGGCTCCTGAGTCAACCATATACTCCCCCCCCCCCAGCTCTTGGGCTGACTGGCTATTTCTTCTTATTCTAGCTGGACATGAAGATCCATGCGGCCTATGGATCCACCAAGGATGTCTCCGTCTACACCTCCATCAACCTGTCCCCTCCACAGATCTTCATTGTCGGGCGGTCTACCAAAAAGTTACAGAACCAATGCCAAGTAAGATCCTTTTATTGTCATGGGTCCAGCCCGCTGTCCATAAATCTCAGGGAAGGAGCTTGTAGAAGAAAAGGATTCTTTAATCCTAAGCTAAGGGCAGATCCTCTCGCACAGTAAGGAGTTTTTTATGTCTTTTGTCCATAGTTCATCACGGAAGGCTACGCATCCCATCTGGCCCAGCTAGAGTACACCCATCGCTCCCGACCTGCCAAGAACACTACTCGAATGGGTCTCCGGAAGGGCAGCTTCGGACTTCCGGGCCAAACTGAATTCCTGCGCAAGAGGAACCATCTCTTGCGGACCATCTCCTCCCAGCCCACCACATCGGCTGGCCAGAGTGCCAGTTACCGTCCAGAACGGACACAAAGCCAGTCCGAAAGCGAGCGGGAAAGGGACCGAGAACGCAGCCAACGGAGCATGAGTCTTGCCACAGGCTGCTGGGGCCGAAGCACGCTCCCGAGGCTCGAACCGGGGAACTTGGGTCAGAAATAGAAAGGCGTCCGAGGCGCGATGATGGCCAGCTGCACTTGCCCAGGTGGCGGAAGCAGGGGCCACGACAAGGCCAGCAGCATGGAGCTCGTGGGCAAATATGGTGCTACTCATTGCCGGTGGGGCGGCAGTGACCTGGCCAGGAGCAACCGAGCGATTTGGGTTTCCTTTCCCCCACAAAACATGCAGGCTGGGCAGTGGCAAGGAGTTGGATATGTGGAGCGCAACCGGGCGGGCCAAGAACAGGAGCCATCTTCTGCCACCAAGACTTCAAGCGGCCTCATCTTCGAGATCCACTGTTTTCCTGCTCTTATCCAGGGTTAGAGATTGTAAATATGTGCCTGTTCAGCTTCTTCTTAGCCATCCGTCAAAGACGAGAACACACTGGTACATTGGGACCAGCAGCAGAAGAAGACCAGGTTGTGGGTAGGAGGACCGTGTGTTCACATAGGCCGGTCCTGGGATCTGGACACATGAAAGGGAACGCCGCCGACTGTCACTTCTTTACAACTGCAATGCCAATTGATTAATTTCTGGAGTCTGGAAGGACTCGGGACCCACAAGCAGAAGCCAAAGCTCCAGGCCGAGTCAAATTGACACCTTCCACTCAGCAGACGGTGACGCCGGGTATCATGCGCACACAACTGGATTGGTGGTTTATCGAGGCTGGTTCTAATTAAAGGATTTTTTAAAAAATAAAGAGTTTGGAAGCTGACGGATTGCACTAATTCAGGAAAAACAATAAGAGTGTTAGCAGGCACAAGTTTCTGCCCCTTCAGACGGGAAGGAGCACAATTTGGGCATGATCTTCAGCCAGTACCTGCAGTACGATTCGAAGCACCTGGCAAGTGCAATATTTGCTCAGCCTAAAACCGAAAATAAAAAGAAGCTACGTCCAAATTCTTCCCAGCCCTTGTCAGATTGTTGTTGTTATTATTTATTCATTCCCCCTGCCCTTAGACTGGAGTCCTTCCTCGTTTTTCCAACGTTATAGTACCGGCTTTCGACGGAGGTTGTAAACTCGCTTTCTTTTTTTAAACCGTGGGTCTATTGCAACTGTACACCTCATCGTTGTCTAGGTTTTGCACTGAGAAACTTTTAGGAAGAAGGTCTGTTTGTTTGTTTGTTTTTCCTCAAGCGACTCCTTCCGGATTTATAGCGCATGACATTAAATGTTGTTAAGCCATGGCACAACGGTCTGCTCCTACAGACACGCAACACGGCAGGCGGAACGAAGGGAGAGATTTCTCACCCATTTCACCCTTTCAATATTTCAGGGGATTTTTTAAAAAAGTTCATTAGCCATGTCAACCACCTTGTAGTTGTCAACTTGACAAGGGAAATTAGCAGAGGGAAAAGGTGTGTTTCCTGCCTGATGCTGAAAAAGAGCCGAAGTGGATTTTAATACAGGCAGTCCTCGACTTAGAACGTTCATTTAGTGACCATTTGAAGCTACAACATCACGGAAAAGAGGGGACATATGACTGCTTTTCACACTTACAGCCGCCCCGTGGTCATGTGATCAAAATATGGCTGCTTGGCAACCGGTTCATATTTATGATGGACCCAGCATCCCAGGGTCACGTGGTCCTCTTTTGCGACCTTCCGATGAGCAGTGTCAATGGGGGAAGCCATGATTCACTTAACAACCGTGCCAAGAAAGGTCACAAAAGGGGGCAAAATTCACTTAACAAAGATCTCGCTTAGCCATGGAAATTTGGGACTCAATTGTGGCCATAAGTCAAGGACTACCTGTATTTCCTCTGGCTTTTCTGCTCATTTACCTGGCTTTAAAGATGTTTTAAAGCTTTTGGCATGGGGGAGGGGGGAGACGGGGGCATTTGTCTTTGAGGAAGGGCCAGTCTGTTCACCCTCTTTTGGTCGCCACTCTTTGCAATTCAGATCTTCTAGCTGCTGCCAAGGGGCCTTTCAGCCCATCCTTTAGCCTGATCCTCTCTCTTCACTGGGAGATCAGCCTTGTCTTACTGACCTGCAATGCTGCTAGTTTTTTATATTTACTCACATTTTATCTCCTCTTTCACCTCCGGTCACTTGTATCACTCTCTCTTGCAGGCGTGTCTCTGTCCATCTTTGCTTCCTTTCCCCTAGACTGATAGGCGTCCAAACGTCTCAGACTTCTGCACTGTGAAACCCGGCCTTTTTCCAACCTTTGGTGGTTTGCCTGGATATTTTTTAAAAATGAACCAATATTCACCCAACGCTTTTTTTTTATATACACCCCTTTAAAAATTATGTGCACTTCTCCGGCGTCCTGTTTCTCTCCCCTTGACAAATGCCGGAGTAAAATTCACTGTGCGGAGTAAAATTCTCAGTGGTTTAGGAAGCCATATTGCATGATCCTAAGCCAACTGTGAAGGGGACTGACAGGTTTTTACTACTTTAGGGAATTTTTTCCCCCTCTAATTGAGCCTAGTTCTTAGGGATGGATGTTGAAAAACAGGAGTGGAAGAGGTGTCCCAACAGATTGTGTTTCTGCTGTCTCATCTGATCATTGCATCTCCGTCTCTCGTGCAAAAGGACACCACAAAAATGGCCAAGAGAACCACAGTTTGGGACTTCATCCCTTCCTTCTCTGCTCTACACAGTCCTTGAGCCAAGACACAACCCAACGTGTACATTGGCAAACTCTAACGGGGGAAACAAAAATGTCTCGTGTCTCTGTGTGCATTTGCAAAATGTGTAATGGGAAAGTCCGTGTAAGTCAGTGTTTTTTGCAAGCGTGGCAGTTTAAATGTGAGTGGACCTCAACATACTGACTAGGGGATTTTGGGAGTTGAGGTCTGCCCAGGTTGGCTGGGAAATTCTGGGCGTTGGAACTCCACAGGTCTTAAAGCGGACACCCCTGATCTAAAAGGAGGGTATAATTCGGTTTTATTTTGCTCTTAGCCCATCTGCCTGGAGCCATCCTGATCAGAGACCTGGCAATTCCCACACGTCACCCCCTTAAGCCCCACGACAGCAGAAAGGTAGATTGTAAAGGTAGCAGGCAAATGGGAATGTCTTGACGGAAAGAAAGCCTACTTCTTTTCAATCGGGGCAGATTTTTCAAACAGGAAAAACGTCAGTTTGAAGAATCACGTCCTACAGTGCAGTGAAGCTGAGGGACTTCACTTAGGTTTCTGCCAGATTGAGCCGAAGTTGCTGCTTTGGGTTTGGGAGACGTCCCCCTTCTTCAATGACTTCACCATCGCGGTGGCGTTCCTGTTAGTCCTCTTTTTCTATCTGTTCTAATGTCACTTTAAACCTGTCCAGTTGGCACCAGAAAAGGAGAAATCTCACTGTTAAGGACACAACTGGGATGGGGATAAAATGATCGCCGGTGGAAATACACAATTGGGTTGTTTGAGGGTCTAGCTTAGCCTGTTCCATCTTTTTTTTGTTTGTTCATTTTGCTCCTGCCTTTCTTTGTGCATGATACTGTCGGGCGCTTTGCTGTTGTCGTGTGTGACTACCATCTTCTCCGCTGCCACCTGACTGTGCTTTGTATCCAGTTATCAGTTGTATGTGAACCTCTTAATTAAAAGACCTGGGAAGGTTTTGCTTACCGTGTTCGTTTCTTTGCAAGGCATGCTGGGAACCGGATCAGAAACGCCCCCGGGCCAGTTTTAACCAGTGTCCATTTCCCTTGATGGGCATCGTTGGGTTCAACTTTCCCTGGCACTCCCTAGATTTTTTTGCAAATATAGTCTCCCTTTCCTTAATCAGGATGGGTTTCAAACAAGGGAAGTCTCTTTGTTTTAAGCACCCGCTGTGCCTCAAAGCTCAAATTAACTCACTGCAGTATTTTGGAAACTTGATAAGCATTCAGAGATAAAAGGGTCGTGTTTTGCAGTTTCTGCTAAACCAGTGAGGCAAAGCAGGAAAGGAAACTGGTTTTAGTTATTTTATTCATGGATAAAATAATTTTATTGGTGATAGTGCAGGCCTTTCTTTATTTAGGAAACCATCCCTTCTTCCAGTGGATCATCAGGTAGCCATCCATCCTTATCCAGAATGTAAACTGGCCTGAAAATCTGGAAAACACACCCAGTTCCAAGCAACTCTCCTTCTCTAACTGAACAGACGAGACCATGAAACCACCAAGATCATTTAGAAGGTTGTTTTAATTAGTTAAAGTAGCTACATCAGCATCCTGTATAAGCATTTCCAATTGGACAGATGACACAACATTCATCGCTTCAACAATTTCAATTTTTCCTTCAGCTTTGTGCTTGCAGTTTTGAAAAGAAACAATGCATGCAAAGGATACAATCCAGCCCTTAAAAAAAAAAAAAGAACACTTTCACTTGCCAGGTTTCACAGGAAGACTATTAAATTTGCCTTTAGCTCTGGGAATTGGCACGATTTCAGGGCCTTTAGCTCTGTAGGACTGGGTGCTCTGCAGAATTTTAAACGCACACTTTGCAATATTTTTCTCTCCCACGCTTGTTTTATTTTCTTTTGGGGGTGAATTCAGCCTGGGTGGCGTGTTCCAAGAACGGATTAATGATTAACTGGTTGTGATGGGAACGGGGTTTACATAAGCTAGTTCAGCAGCTGCTTGGTTGCCAAAGGGTGCTAAGAGTTGGCCTGCGTGTGGTTCCCACTGGCCTTGTGAGTCAGGGCAACCCAGTCGTTGGCGTATAGGGCAGTCAGCCCAGGGCAGGATTAGAAACGGGAGGAATCGGAAAGAGTGAGAAAAATCTCTTGCCCCTAAGGAAGGTTATGTGCACATTGCACAAAGCGACTGTCGGAGAATGAATGATTGACAAGCCTTTGAATACTCTCCAACCAAAGGAAGAGGAGGATGGAAGGAAGAAGAGAAGGAGGAAGAGAAGGAAAAGGAGGGTGGAAGAAGGATGAAAGGAAGAAAAGCAAGAGAAAGATAAGGAGAGGATGGAAGGAGAATGAAAGGAAGAGAAGGAGAAGAAAGATGAAGAGGAGAAAGAAGAATAGAAGAAAGAAGAAAAGGATGGAAGGAAAAGGAGGAGCAAAGGAAGAGGAGAAGGACAGAAGGGGGAGGAGAGAAATTAAACCAGTAGCAACCAATGCAGAATTCAGCTAGCAGCCCAGGCAGAGGGTAGTTTTTGTCAGACCTTCTTATGAGCTTAGGAAGCTACAATGCCGTTCTTTGCCTTCATCACTAGCAGGAGGTGAAGTCAAATCACACATCGGGGCTGAGCCACTGGCAACCTTCCAGACATTCTCTGACGTCCAAACCAACTGGGGAAGACCAGCCTTCTCCCGGCCCTGCCCACCGCAGGAATCCAGAAGCCCCCAAACCGGCCTTTACCCTCCCCAGCTGGCTGGGAAGCCACGGCACCCTTAAGAAAGCTGAGCCCCTTCTGCCTGGAAAGAGAGGAGCTGAGGCTGCTGGAGAACCGGGCCAGGAGGCCTCATTCCAGACTCCCCTGGAGCTTGATCAAGGGGGTGGGTGGGTGGGTGGGTGGGCAGCGTGCCAGGCAGACCTGAAGGAGAGCTGCAGCAGGCCTGCGCTCTGCCCTCCTCTGGCCAGATCAGGGAGGCGATGAGTCATTCTCCCTCCTGGTAATGAGCTGCTGCAGCGCTCCAGTCTCTGGACTGCATTGCTGGCAAGGCTGATCTTTTCCTTAGCATGGCGGGAAGTTGTTCTTTTGCTTGGATTTTCCTTGCCAGGTCACCAGATACGGACGAGGAGATCGGCAGCCTCTTTAGCTGCAAGGAATCGCTCAGGAGGGGACCTTTGGCACGGGGGAAAGCAGCCAGGGACGCCCCCCTCCCCCATAAACCATCGCCAGAAGCCCTTTAATTCATCCGTCTTTGCGCCTGCTTCCAACTCTCCCTTTCCCCCCCAAGAAGAACATGAATCTACGCTCCCTAACCTCAAGAGGATGGGAAGCTGAGAAGAGCAGCTGAAGTGACTCCTGGGAAAATCAAGGGCCCCTGGAGCCGAAGGGGAGGGGGAGACCCCCACAAGGCTTGTGCACTGCGGCCTTAGAAGAGATTCTGCCCTCTGGCACCCGGGCGTGCCTCGTTTGGGGCAAAAGCTTTGCAAACAGCCAAGGAGACCATCTCTGCCGTTTCAGAAATCCGTCCCGCTACTGCAGCATCCCCATCTTCATCTGAAATGAAAATCCGTCTCCCCGGGTGGATTGCTGCAAAAGGAGATACGATACAGGTTAGAAGGGAGGGGGCTTGCCTTAGAAAAAGGCGAAGTCCTCTTTAGCTGCCCCCCCCATCCCAATCTGCCAGGACCCCCGGAGACAGAAAAATCCAAAAGGTGGATTGGTTGCCCTGAAGCTATTAGGTTTCCAGAGCTGATGAAAATAAAGGGGGAATTGGATTGACGTCTGTCCATCCGCAATGTCTCACCCCAGGCGTTAGGAAGTTCTGATCTTGCTAAGGGGAAATTGATGCTCGGGGTGTCAAAGGTGCTTTTTCAAAAGGCAACTGGATTTTCTTTGCTTTTCCTTGAAGACGTTTCACTTCTCATCCAAGAAGCTTCTTCAGTTCTGGACAAAGCTCTCGTCTTCCTTCCATCAGAACTGAAGAAGCTTCTCAGTTGACAAGTGAAATGTCTTGAAGGAAAAACGAAGTCCAGTTGCCTTTTGGAAAAAGAACTTTTGGGACAACCATGACCTGGATGACTGGGAATCTCCACAGACATGATGCTCGGGGTGTTTTGAAGGGCAGATGTGGAAACAGAAACCAAGTGCCTTGTCCAAGGAAATGTGAACAATATGGGCCGTGAAATACGAACTTCTGAAGAAAAGCACAGCCCGCTTTTAGTTGTGAAGTCAATGACCCTCATCCTGTCCAAGCAGGCCAGCTGCATCCAAGCCTGTTGTGATCACAGAAAGCCACTAACCTTGTTTATTTCTTTATGCCTTTCTTTCGTCACAATCTCCTCCAGGATCTCTCCGTCGCCTTTAATAAGCCTGCAAGAGAAACACCATTGACTTCCCCAAACAACAGATGTTATCCATAAAAATGTGGAAAGCAGCGGACCCTTAAAAAGAGGTCAAGTTAACTATTGCCGCAAGGGTTTATTCGCTTAGCAACTGTGGCAAAAAAAAGGTCACAAAATCAAGAAGAACTTTGTGAACAACTGCCTCTTTTAGCAGCAGAAATTCTGGTGTCAGTGGTGGTCATAAGCCAAGGACTTGCCTATATGGCCTTCTACTGTGGTTGAAAGCTTTCATGAAAGCCAGAAGAAATCGATTCGTATTTAGCAAACGCGTGTTTGCAAAGGGGGATGAAGGCAACACCCTCCCGTCAGCAAATATTTGAGGATCCGGATGCTGTGTTTGTAATACTGAAGACTGTTCTGGGTACTAATAATGGAGATGCCAACTTCACAGATTTGTATCTTTGAAAGGTGGCTTGTGCCCATATCCCCCTCTAATTTTAGGGCAAAAGAGATCTCGGTGCCCTAGCAGCAAAATCAAACCAGCAGCAGGCAAGCTGTTGCAGAGACAGCAAACAAGACAAAACGAGGGGGGAAAGCCACCCCGATGTTCAAAAATTAAAATAATGATATTCCGTGCAAACTGCTTTCCGCTGAAGTTGTAAATACGCCCAGGGAAAGAGGGGCTCTATGGATTTTGTGAAATTGTGACAGGGAAGGAACCCCAGTTCAACCCAGCCCCCTGGCCTCTACCTCATCCGGCCTGTTTCAGGGTTGAGGACCTTCCGTATAACGCTCTGGCGGGCATCCCACTCCTCTTTTGTCATTGGCTTCATGGCCTGGATGCGGAACTTCTGTTCGTCCGTCAGGGCTGGAAGAGAAACCTACGTCAGAAAATGGGGGAGGCTACCAAACTCTTGGTTCAACAGTTCCCGTAATCGGCTGTAGGAGAGGCTCTGCCTTTTACCCCACAGAGAGAAAGGACCCAGGTTTTTTTGGCCCTCATGGGGAAAAAAAACAAACCCTATTCATCATGAACAAGCACTGTGAGAAAGAAGGACGTGAGGAGAAAGCAACCGACCAGTGACGGATCTTTGCTTTTGAGACAGTGCCTGGCCAGCCTCAAGAAGGAACAGACCCTTGGCGTGAGAACAAAAAGCAGCCAATCATGTTTGACTAGGAGAGCCAGGTAGGGGCAGAGGGGAAGGCGCCAGCTACCCCTAAGAAGATTCCGAGTTTCAAAATTGGGGCACTTGGCAACCGCGTGGATTTACGACGGTTGCCAAGTCCTGGGTTCATATGATCCCCATTTGCGACCTTCCCAACTGGCTTCCGGCCAGTAGATCAATGGGAAAAGCTAGATTCTCTTAACGACTGTGGCAGAAAGGTCATAAAATTGGATAACAACCGCCTTGCTTAGACATGGAAATTCTGATTCCAACTGTGGTCCTAAGTCAAGGAGAACTGTTTTATGTTATTGTAGCCTCTCAATTGCTCCTCCAATCTGCTCTTGGGAGAGTTTTTTTTTTTTTTTTTCCCCAGGCTTGCTTGAGCTGAGTTTCCGTGCTATAAAGGCCAGCCTTACCCGGCCCAGAATCCGATCCAGCCTCCTTCTGCCACTGCTCCAGCGAAGGGCCGGGAGCCTCTTCCTTCTTGGTTTCCTCCTCTTTTCCCCGCTCCTTTTTGGCTTTCTTCTTCTTCTTTTTCTCTTTCCGTTTCTTCCGCTTCTTGTCCTTCCCTTTGGAAGCCTTCTTCTTCCTCTGCTTTTTCTTTTCGGATTTGGCCTTTCCGTTGTGGGACTCGTCCGAGGAGGCACTGGAAGAGGAGGCCGACCCAGAAGACGAGGAGGAGGAAGAGGTGGTTTCAGAGGAGGAGGAGGAGGAGCTGGCCTTCCTTTTCCTTTTCTTCTTCGCTTTCTGCTTCTTTCTCACTAGGAGCCAGAATGGAAGAGAAGATAAGCAGGGGCTCCAGAGGACAATCACCCCCGACCTGGCTGGGAATTCAAGAGATGCCCCTTTAAGATGGGTGGACTTCAATTCCCAGAATTCCCCCCTTTTAAGGCTGCCTTAAATGCGTGCCTGCGAACAGCGAGAACTGACATTCAGCCTCTTGCATCCACTCCCACTCTACCCGAGAGACCAAGCTTCCTGTTTAAAATGTTAACATCTTCAAGTTACTAGTCCTGGTGGAACTCCTGGGAAGTTTTAAAGTAGGGAAAAGCCGGCTTGGCTTACCAAGCCAAAGCCAAGAAAGACAACCTCCCCCTCTGAATTGCCAAGGAAACAAGATGATCCCCATCCTTCCATCTTTCAACAACGTTCATTTGGAAGCCACAACTACGCATTTGTTAAACCACAGATTTGCAGCCACACAAACAGGACTGCAATTTTGGGAAAAGCTGGGGTGTTTTTTTTCCCTCACCATCTTTGGAAGATAAACTCATCCTGAATTCCTGGGGTTCCGATTCTTTTTTGCTTGCTGGGGACCAACTCCTCTTCCTCTCTCGGGAACCTTTGCTGTTCTTCCTCCTTTTCTTATCTTCCTCCTTGTCTCGCTGTCGGCTCCGGGAATCGCTTCGACTCCTCCTGCGTTTTTTAGCTTGGCTGTGAGCCATCTTGCTCTTGGTCCTGTTTCAGACAGATGAAATGTTTGGGTTTTTTTTTAACATCTGCAGCAGAATAACCTTCACCATTGCAACCCTCTAGGAATGCCTTACTTGTAAAAAAATACAATATATAAAATAAAGTATGAAATAAAATATGAAACATGTAAAAAATAATATAAAATATAACAAAGACCTACTCCTGTTATTCATCTCCAACTAAAACTTGCCTCTATCATCTGAACTGACGCAGAAACAACAGAATCGATGTAATTTTTATTCCTTTAGGTTTTATTTCTTTGGAATAGTGAAATTGCTCCCTAATGTTCTTCCAGCTATCTGTACGCAAAATATTTATAGTGTTATTATTAATCTTCCTTTTCTACTTAATAAGGTGCGGGTCTTTCTGAGTCTTGGGTACTGGCCTTTTAAGAAAAGCCTCGCTTTCCTAGCTGTCGTTTAGCCGTCTTTGACCAATCCGCGGGCATCCCTGCCTTTATAATCCCTCCTCCGCCAAGTCTCCAGAGCGGCCGCTTTGAGCGCATGCGCGCTAAGGACGAACCTGCTCCGCTTTTATGGATCCGAATTTGCCCCGTTGTCTTAGACTTACTGAGTCAGGTAAGCGCCCCGCCGGTGGGGTGGAGGAGGCCCGGCACGGCGTGAGGCGCAGATCCCTCGTTAACGCGGCTTCTCCGTACCATCCGCAGATTCGGAAAGCGAACGCAGCCGCCCCCCCCCCTCGCCCCAACGGCGGCCGTTCTCTAAACTGTAGCGGCGACTTCCGGTTGTCATGTTGGTACATAAGTCCGGTGGGGAAATCGGAGGCTGCGCACTTTGGTTCCCACCTCGGTTAATGCGTGTGAGCCGAAGGTTGGAAGTTTCCTTCCAGTTAAGAGATTTTATTGATTAAACGTATTTTCTTGATTTCTATGCCGCCCATCTCCCCTACTCTTCGCTCACGATTTTTTTTATTTAAAACAAGGGTTTTTTTTTTAATTTGTTCCCTTCCAAGATTCCTGAAGCTGTTGGCTTTCTTATTACCGGAAGTTATAAATAGAAGATTTTGCATTCCAGTTGGAGGCTGTTATAACTGAGAAGGAAAGGTAGTTATTTAAAAAATAAAGCAATCAAAATAGTATTTTTTTTAAGCTCTGATTTTAAAAAGGTACTTAGCTGTTATGCTGGAGAGATACCAGTTAAATAGGATTGATGGGGGGTGGGGTCAATTTGAAGATGAAGAGACTATAGAGGTTGGCATATAAAAGCAGGGAGCACCTCACTCACCGTCACATTGATAATGTTGTCTAGTTGGGCAATGAAATGTGTGCAAGAAAACCACCAGTCTCAGAGAGCACCAAGGACCCCACAGTCGTCGTCGTCCTCCCATACTACCTTCTACCACTGATGACGTTGCCTAGTTGGGCAATGAAACGTCTGCAGGGAAATAACCAAGCACTCAGGACTGCACAGAGAAGAGACTACTGATATGTTAAAGTCAGATTTTGAAATTTTATTAAAATCCAGACGCAGAGTTCTCTTCCTCTGTGCTCTTTTTATGTTAACGAGCACACGTCTGTGGTCCCAGGTGGGCTGCCCTCCAGAATCCTAGTGAACCCATCCCCAAATCCGTCTGCTTCAATGAGGTCAGGCTGTCTGTTGCACATGGGACAAAGTCGGTTGCGGACAGCCGAAGATCGCATCCAGATAATCAGGTTCCTGCGTTCGCCAGAGGCAATGGGCAATGCCCCGTGGAGCTGCCCTCCGCGATGGAACAACCCATAGAACAGCACGTGTTCAACCTCCAGGTAATTTGGCACAGGCTTGGCATCCTTGAAAAGAGTGGACGGATCAGGTTACGAGCTGCTTCAGCAGTTGTGGTCTTCAAATCAAGGCAGCTTTCAGAAAATATTCATTCATGCTGTATCTACATATGCAATTCACTACTACAAGCTATGGAAATTAGTGGTTAAGGCACCCAGCTCAAACCAGGAGATGGGGAGTTCTAGTCAGGCATGAAAGCTGGCTGGATGACTTTGGGCCAATCACTAGGAGACAGGGAGTTCAAGTGCTGCCTTAGGCATGAAGGCTGGCTGGGTGACTTTGGGACAGTCACACTCTCAACCCTTCCCACCTCACAGGGTTGTTGTGGGGGAAGTAGGAGAAGGAAGGAGCATTAACTACCCATCATATGGTAGTTAATTGCCCATCATGATGTAAAAGTTTACAATCAACTGTATGAAGTTTTAAAAGCGGCACCTGTCTAAATTCTGCGAAGTAAAGGCTGCCTTCTGTGAATTCTCTCCCCAGGCAGACGTTGAGAGTCACTTCTGCGTTGTCGTAATGGATGTGCAAGTCCAAATCTTCATGCAGTGCGTATTTCACAACAAAAGCTTTGTGGCTGTCCAAGCAGCTCCCTCCCCAGTCCGGATAAAGCAGGGCTGTCAGCGGTTGCAAATATTTCTCTCGCAGAGGTGTAAGAAATGTTTCGTCCAGTCCAAGTTCATTCAAAAGCACCTGCCATAAAGGTGAACAAGAAAGGGACAGAAAATAAAAGGGAAAGAAAGATGATGGATATTCTAACAGAACATTCGGGTCAATTTCTTTCAGGGGTTTTGGTTTTTCTCTTATGCCAAATATTATCCATGTAGCATTGATAACTGTTTTGTATTTAAGCAGGGCCAGGATAATAGAATACAAATAACCCTGTTTTCTCTAATGTGAGAACATGCATTTAACAAAACTAATTCCCACATCATTCCACATTTTTGCCATCTACAGGATGTGAAGCTCACCCCATAGTTATTCATAGAATTGGGTCTTCCCTTAGGCAACTCGGACTGTTCAAAGTGTTCTAGTTCCTCAACAAAAGCTTCGCAGAATTCCTTGGTGAATATTGGTAACCGGTAGATTCTCTTATCTGAAGTAGAGAAGAGTAAGTATATTTTCCAGGTGTTAAAATAAGTTAGTCTGTTTTTTTTTAATTTATACTAAAGCTTAGACATTTGTGGGCAGAAGGCCATAATTCAGGATTTTTAATTTATTTGCATATAAAATAATGAATTTCCCCAGCTGAATGGAACTTCCATCAGCAAGGGTGAGAAAGATTCATCTGTGCGTGAGAATCGGAACCGTGCCTCTGGGCCATAGGCCCAAACAGTAGAAAGCTCAGCCCGCCAGAGGCATAGCCTGTTTGCAGCCTACTGATAAATGGACATCGATTTTTACCTGATAAAGATTCCACATGGCGCAGGAGACCTTGGAGATCAGCATTTGGGGATTTGCAGTATTTGACGGTTTCTAAAAATTCCGAATTAAAAAATGATTCCTAGCATAGCAGATAGGGATAAGGAGAGAACAAGAAAAAGAGAATTGAACAGAATAACTTCTGATTAACTTGCCTTTAACTTTTATCAGATTTTGGGGGTTGCTGCCAGCGCTTTTAACTCTAGGGACTCAGAGCAGGTTCCAAGGCTGCATGCTCCTCCCTGCCCAGGTAAATTATCCCTCTATCTCATTTAGATTATGCAGTTTCCTCTTTGTCAGAAACGGCTGTGAAGCCTCAAGTTAGTCTCACTTTTTTTTATAATTTGCTTAATAGAAAAAGTCTCCCCCTCCCCTTTCCTCCTAGTCCTCTGAGCATAAACTGATGTGCAAATGCAACGAAGCACATCCTTTACCTGTAAAATATATAGCTGTGGGTGCTTTGGTCTGTAATTCTGAGAGATGATTGCTTTTCTTTCTCTGGATTGATGATCCAATTCCTTTCTCCTCTGCACTTCTTTTTCAACCTGCAGCAATTCAATCTGATTGTTTATAAACTGTTAATTAAGATACTTAAACAGATGCAAGGGAGGTTTCTGTCTTGGTTTTCTTGTTTACAGAAAAAGCCAGGGGTCTCATAAAATTCAAAAAGTGCTGGACCGGAAACTGGGTATCTAGTACACATAATTTTAATACACATAAATCTGTGGGTGATGGATGACTTTTGATCAGAGTCTTTCGCACCACCCAACCCCCCCTCACAGGAACATTGTGGGGAAAACAAGAGGCAAGGAAGCGTTTTGTAGACTGCCTTGAACTGTACAAAAAAGGGCAGGCTACCATTCTGGAATCAACCATCATGCAGTTGTGTGCCATTGTGCCCACACGATGACAAAGGTTATCTTTCAAGCTAATATAGGGCAATAATACTATGGAATAATTCACAATTGTATGATTCCTCAAAATAATGTAAGGTAATAAGACTGAAATTCCACAATGATGTGATTCTTCCAGCTGATATGTATGCCTGTGTCTATAGATACACACTTAAGCTGGTGTGATTCTACCAGCTAATACAGAGCAGTAATAACTCAAATTTGGGTGTCAATTGTGGTTGTAAGTCGAGGAGTGTGTGTGTGTGTTTTTTTTTTTCTCTAATCAGGCTAGTGAGATTCTTCAGCAGAAAAAGAGCAGAATCAATGCAACAAAAGCCCGGAGGAGCGACGGATCTTCCTGCCCAGCCTCGCCCGACCAGACCTCTCGAAGGACGGCCGCGAAGTCCTCCTCGCTCCTGCAGCCGCGCTGCCTCAAGACCTGCGGAGGAAAGAACGGGGCTCAGCAAGGCGCGGACGATGGGGACTGTAGTCTAGCCCTTCCCCCACCCTTCCCCACTGCGGGCGAGGGATCCGTCGCCGCCCCGGGGCTCACCGGACCGTACTCCCTGCGCAGCTGCTCCGGATCGCCCTGGTAGCGCAGGTGGAGGCCGTAGCGCTCCACGAAGAGGTTATCGGTAAGGAAACAGGCGCAGGCCAGGAAGCGACCCCGGCCCGGGTTCCAGGCACCGCGCTCCATGTTGCCGCCCGGACCCGCCGGCGGACGGAACGGGGTTGTCCGAGCAACGGGTCCGTCGCTCAAAGCGTCCCGGCCGCCAGCCCGTGCCAGGGAGCGTCTGCAAATTACCCAGCGGTGCCCAAAGGGAGGAAGCCAGGTCGGAGCCTCTCTCCCAGCTCTGGAGCCCGCAGAGGAGCGGAACGGCCCGGAGGAAAGAAGGGGAGCCCTTTTGGGCCGGGGCTAAGTCAGTTTCGTGGCCCCAAGAGAGCAACCCGGCGGATATTTTGCAAGCCAGCCTGGGAAAATCTGCAGCTTTGTTGCTAGCAAGGAGGCAGTTGCCATTGCTTTTTTTTTTCCTAGCGGGGCTCCTTTGCTTAGAAGCAAGAAGGCTGGCTTTCTCAATAGGGTCTTCTGCATACTGATGTGGGGAGAAAGGACAACAGTGCAACTTAAATGCGCTGGTTGGGGGATTCTGGGAGTTGAAGCCCATCCGTCCAGCTGGGCAAGAGTCTGGCTGCCCAGGGCTGGAGGGGCCGAAGATCGCTGGGCTACTTCTGGGAAACTGTCTTTTTTGTCCTGGAACTGCAGGGGAATTCAACTCTACTCACCTTAAAGTTGCCAACTTTGGAGGTCTTCTAGTCCACCCCCCAGCTGAAGCAGGAGACCTCATACCATTTCAGACAAATGGTTGTCCGATCTCTTCTTAGAAACCTCCAGTATTGAAGCACCAACAGCTTCTGAAGGCAAACCGTTCCATTGATGTAAGTGTTCTGTCAGCTCTATGAATTGGCACTCTTAATTAATACTCTGATTAATTGTTCCGTCAACTATGTCAAATGTCAACTCCCCCAACCCCAGTGCTCCAAAGTATGTACCAGATGTACCCAGAGCATCCCATCCTGATGCAAACAGCGGGAAAGAGCCCTCCCCGACAGCTTTGCAAAGCGAGGGGCACTTGTGCACCATCCCTTAAGCGAAAGCAAAACCAGCGGGGCACAGCTGCAGTTCCTGGATAAAAGGACGGAGCCTGCAGCCCAGCGGTCTTCAGCACCTCCAGCCCCTGGCCTGAGAAGCCAGGCCCTTGCCCGGCCGGACCCTTCTTTGCAACATGGATTCTGCCTTGCAAGTGGCCGAGGAGGAGGAGGAAGAGGAGGAGGTCGGCGAAGGCTCCTGCAGCCCCACCAGCAAATTTGAGGATATTTTCCGCCTCCTCTCCGAAGGCTGCTTCCCGGCCAGCTTCTGCTCCATCAAACGGAAGAATCTGAAACGCTACGCCCAGAAGTTCATTGTGGAAGGTGAAAAGAGAGGGGGGAGAGGATGTTTGGGGGGGGGGAGGCATGTCTGCAGCTGCAGCAGCCCGAAGCTGGCAAGGAGGCATGGGGGGACATGGGAAGGGTTGAGGGGGGAGCTTAGCTTGATTGGCAGCAGGGAAAGGGTGCAGGGAAAGATGGGGAAGAGGGAGGGTGCAGAACAACCCGAAGCTGCTCCTGCATTCCTTCCACCAAGAGACCTCTCAGGCTTTAGACTGATTGGAGGTGATTTGGGTTTTAATCCTAATTTAAGGAATTAGGAGAGTGGCATCATAGCAAGTAAGTCATTCCAAGCAAGGTGTTGGTTTTTTTTTTTTTGTTAAAGATGTTAGGTTCAGTAAATTCTTTTCCTTCTTCCTCTTCTTTCTCTTTTCCTTTGCCTTCCATCCTTGTCCTCCTCCTCCCCTTTTCTCCTTCCTCTTCTCCTCCTCCTTCCATCCTTCTTCTTTTCCTCCTTCGCTCTTCCTCCTTTTTCCTCTCCTTCTCTTCCTTCCATCCTCCTCCTCCTTCCCTCTTTCAATCCCATCATCCTTGGTCCTGCCAGTTGGATTAGCAGCATTTCAAGGACATCTTATGGAAGGATTTAATGCACCCTCCCAAAAAACATTGAAAGGGACCAAGAGGGGAGATTGACACGCGCAGAATTACAGATGCACCTTGCATTAGAAATGGTAGCCAATCATTGCACCCATTTTTTCCAGTTTCTTTTTCCATCCCATTGTATTTTTTTTCCCTTGTTCCTTGTGCAGGAGGCTGCCTCTATTATGTGGGCCCCAAAAAGGAGGAAAAGCGGGAAGTGGTGGTTGACCTCCAACGCCGACGGCAGGTCTTCCTGGAAAGCCACTTCACGGAGCTGGGGAATCACCTGGGGCAGAAGAAGACGGTCCACCGGATTCAGAGCCGATACTATTGGCTGGGTATTGTCAAGGATGTGGTAGACTGGGTAAATGTTTGGGGGTGGGAGGAGGAATTGCTCGTTTTAAGTAGAGAAAGTGATTGCTTGGAGCATTCAGATTCATCCCCAGAGATCCAAAGGAAGCGATGATTTGCAATGATACAGGTAGTCCTTGACTTAGGACCACAACGGAAGGCAGAAGTTTCACTGTTAAGCAACAAAGTGAGCTATATCCGACGTTACGATCTTTGCTGCCACGGTTAAGTGAATTTCTGTGGCGGTTAAGCAAACGATGTGGTCATTAAGCAGACCCAGCTTCCCCCTTGACTTTGTGGTCAGGAGCTGGCTGGGAACGTTGCAAGTGGCGGTCATGTGACCCTGAAGGTTGCAAACGGCGACCACGTGACCCCAAGACCCTTCAACTGTCATAAATATATGCCAGTTGACAACCGCCCAAATTTTGGTCACGTTACCCTGGGGGTGCTGCAACGGTCCTTAAGCGCTAGGACTGGGTTATAAGTCACCTTTTTCAGTGCCCTTGCAATTTCAAACAAATGGCTTCTCCGTCTTTTTTTTTTTTGCCTGTCTTCTTCCAGATCAAGCTGTGTGAAACCTGCCAGAATGCAGAGCATAGCAAGAACCTCACCAAAAAAATCCGGCCGGTTAAAGTGGAGCTGCCTTGGGAGGTTGTAGGGCTGGATATTTATGGTACGTGCGTAGTTTATTCCAATTTGTATGGCTTTTAAAACAATTTTTCTTTTTCTTTTTTCTCTTCCTAGTGTTTTCCCACAAGTGCAGGATTTGGTTTTTTTTTCCCCAGATAAAACAAGTGTGGATCTATTTAGTTGCAATAGAAATTGATAAACTAGCTTGTCACCTGAGCATGCCACTGTGGGCTGAAAGGGAGTGGCTGGCCCAAAGTCATCCTGCTGGCTGTAAAGCCTAAGGCATGACTAGAACCATCGCCAGATGATTGATGCAAGGTCATCCAGGTGGCAATTGTGCCTAAGGCTTGACTAGAACTCACCATCTCCTAGTGATTTTCCCAGGGCCATCCCGGTGCTTTCATACCTAGGGTGGACTAGAACTCACTGTCTCCTGTTAATTGGCCCAAAGGTCACCTAGCCTGCTTCAGTGCCCAAGGCAGAACTCACCCTCTCCTAATGATTGACCCCGACTGCTTTCATGCCAAGACGAGACTAGAACTCACAGCCTCCTTTCTAGTCTGCTATCTTTTAAAACAAATGCTAGTTTTTAATTCAGCAACCCGATCACCTTCTCCTCCTCCTCCTTCTCCATCTTGCTGTTGAGTCCGTTTTCTGTTTGTTCCTTTCCCCAGAGTAACTACCTCGTTTCACCTTGCACACCTTCGCCTAAATCTCAGTGAGGTCACCTCAACAACTGACTCTCTTTGGGATGTTCTCTAGGTCCTTTCCCGGAGTCCAGACAAGGCCACAGTCACATCCTTGCCGTGACGGATTATTATACGAAGTGGGTGGAGGCTCTCCCGTTGCTGAAGAGAGATGCTTTTTCGGTGGCCAAAGGTTTGGCTTCCTTGTATTACAGGTGGGCTGACCTCTTCTGCTATTACGGGATTTAAGGTGGTAGCTGCCCATAGGGCCAACCCCTAAAACTAGGAATTTGCAGCTACAGCAAAAAGTAGATTTGAAGGCCACGTTGTCTTACCAGATGCCCTGGTCCACGCCTTTCGTGGACATGGCAATATCATCTCAGCCTACACATCTACTTAGGAGTATTTCTCGTGTGATTTCTTAAACAGGTTTGGGGCATCCAGGAATATCTTGTGCAATCTGAGCTGGGACTTCTGCGAAGAGGTGAGTCAGAATTTTCATTCCCTGGAGCAGTGTTTCCCAACTTCAGGAACTTTAAGATGTGTGGACTTCAACGTCCAGAATTCCCCAGTAAGTCACGCTGGCTGCAGAATTCTGGGAGTTGAAATTCACACAACTTAAGCTCACCATGCTGGGCTGGAAATTCTGGGAGTTGAAGTCCACACATCCTAAAGTTCTGCGGTTGAGAAACATTGCCCTAGGGCCTAGAGGCTGGGCTCCTGCTTTCTGCTAAGCAGTGGTCTGTGCCTCCATGCTCCCTCTGGGAAACATACCATCAAGCTATTGAAAGATCTATTTTTAATCCTGTTGGCTTCTAAATATATTCTGCACAGCTGCTTGTTCTCCTCCGTGGGCAGGACCTAAGCAGTCCATGCAACAAAAGGAGAAAACTACATAGCTATTTCTAACTTCAACTATTGGCACCTTTGGAGCCCGGAGCCCAAAGATTCATGTAGTTCTGCACTTTCAGGTGGTCAAACTCTTATTAGAGAGATGGAACATTACTCAAAGTCTCACCCCGGCCAACTGCACGAACCTGGACTGCCGCACCAACGACCTGCTGAAGTCCTCCATTTACAATGTTGTAAACGAGAAGCCAGGCAGGTGGGACGAGGCCCTGGAGCCAGTTCTGTTTGAGCTCCGCACGTCTGCCAGCCCTGTGACCAAATACCCTCCTTTCTTCCTCCTCTACAACAGATACGCCTGCCTGTCCTCTGAGGTAAAGGAGAACAAATTCAGGGGGTTGTGTGGCTTGAAAAGGGCTGTGTGTGTGTGTGTGTGCGTTGTGTGTTGAGCCACACCACATCATCACCAGCAAGGATCCTTCTGATTTCTCCAAGGTGGCAAATGAACTTGGAGAGATCAAAGCCAGCATCCTTCAGAAGGGATTTGCAAATGCAAATTCGGCCTTTGCAGTTGGTGACTTGGCAGTGCCCCCCTCATCTGAAATGGTAGATTTCAGGTTTCCTGCCTGAGCAGGGGGTTACTAAACGAACGGTTGTAAAATGAGGAGTGGCTGTAGTGTATTTCCTTTCCCGCCCAGCCCTAATAATAATGAACGCATTCAACAAACGCCTTTTTTTTCCTCTCTCCTAGGTGGAATATAAGAAGGAGCAGGGATCCGGGGGTTTTAAAAGCAGCCGCTTCCCGCCATTCACGGCTGCCGCCCAGGAACAACAGAACGCCGTGAAAGAAATTGTAAGTCAAGACTTTAGATCCTTACAGCTGGTCCTCAGCTTACGAACGGTCGCTGAAGAAGCATCTGAAATAGCAAGCAGGCCTGGAACGGATGCTTTGTGGCCCAAAAGGCACTTCCAGACATCATAAAACGACAGGCAACATCCTCGCCACCGCCTGTAGTCCCGGGGCTGCATTTTTGATCAACTGACCAGCCTTTGTGACCGGTTGCAGCATCCTGCAGTCCCGTAATTGTGATTTGTGTGACATATTTTGCCAGTTTCCAGTAAAAAAAAACAGAAGAATGGGTTCAGACGTACAACTGTGGCCTTTGCTTAACACCTCTGGGGATTCTCTTAAGAACTACTTTAAAAAATGCTGTAAAATTGGTTCCGGTCATGTCATTGCCTCTACTTATGACCGTAACAATTTAACACCCATAAATCTGATCCCAATTACAGTCGTAAGTCGAGGACTGTCTTCCGCTGATAACATCCTTCTCTGTAGGAATATCGGAGGAAGCTTAGTGTGTTTTTAAGCGTGAGGCCATCTTCCCAATCTTTTTCTCCTTCCTCCTTTGCAGGTTATTGCCAACATGACGGCCACTTACAAAGGAGAGCCAAAAAGCCTCAAGAGAAAAGGGAAACCTCTGTCCTCCCTCACGTACAAAATGGAGGGCGGCCTTTTGGGGAGAAATGGGGAGCCCCCCCTGAAAAAATTGAAAAGGAGCCAGTTTGTCTCGTTCCAGATCGAGACGGTCTTGAGCCCAGAGCAGAGCTTATCGGGTGTGAAGAAAACGGGATGACTGATCAAGAGATTGTGCCTCCTGTAGGCATTCCCTTCGGCTGTGTACATATCTGTGCGTAACAGGTAGTCCTTGACTTACAACCGTCCCATTTAGTGACTGTTTGAAGTTACAACGGCGCTGAAAAAAAATGGACTTTATCGTTTCCTTTCGACTCATGTAGCATCCCCGCGGTCACCTGATCAAAATTCAGACGCTTGTCAACTGACTCGTATTTATGACCGTGTCCCGGATCCCTTTTGCAACCTTCTGACGAGCCAAGTCAGTGAAGAAGCCAGGTTCACGTAGCAACTGTGTGCCTAACTTAACAACCGTCGTAAGTCGAGGACCCCCTGTATCTAATAAGACCAACAGAGACATATAGATATATAGGAGGTGGGAGCAATATGGTTTAATTGAAATTCTCCCCTTTGTGGAAGAGTCCTGCATAAAGGCTATAAATTTTGCAGGTGGCATGGGGATTTTCCTTATTTATTTTAGCTAACAAGTGTCGGGTGGGGTCAGAGCGATGGGTTTTGACCCAAGAATGCTCCCTTCAAAACCTCACATCCTTTGCAAGCACGCCCTAGGACTTTGGGCCTTTCTCAAGACTGCAGTATTCCCATCTGTAAAATGGGTTTATGTATCTTCTCCATCAAACACACGCACCTACACGCACACACCCCAGGCTGGATGCCTGCTCAACGCTCTGCGGGCTTTATTACGATTATCCAGTTTATTTGCTGCCCGTCTTGCCATTGGAAGCGACTCTGAGCAGCGAAGCCGTCAAAGTTGTGCAAAGGGTTTCTTGGAAATGAAAGAAAGAACGAGAAAAGGTTTCTTAAAAGAAATTCTGAGAAGGCAGCAGAGCAGCCTATGAAAGGGCAGGCCGTTTGTGATTTGAGGTGTCTTATTTTTTGCAAGCTCTGTGCACTGTATTAATGGAGAAAGGATCACTGATAGCCACAAGCAATAGCAGAGGAGTTAATTCCTTTCTCCAGCTAATCACAAAGATGCCTGCATGTTCATTTTATCCTTGGGGAATGTTGGCGACAGGACTGCAAGGCCAACATTATGCTATTCTGAACACAGAGTCCGGGCACTGAGGTGGTGTGTGTATCTTTGCATTTGTGTGTGCAAAAGAAACAGATTGACCAACACTCAGGCTGATGAGCTAAACAGTGGGGTTGGGTCCAAATTGCCTCTGTGAATATGTAAGTAATCATGTAATAAATTTAGGCTGATGCACTGAAGCAGCTTGCTTGTCCAAGTGTCTGACCCAAGTTCTCAGTGTGAAGTGCTCCCACATAATTTCAAAATAGCCCCGCTTCCCACAGCCTAAGAAACTCACTGCCACAAGATAAGTCCACTGTGAGGAAGCAAGGACCTGGCAGTGACTCTGGAGGGCTGAAGATGACGGCAGCTCTCAAGAGTAACTTCAGTAGTTTGGAAGGAGCCATTGGAGGAGGCTGCGATGCAACACAGAAACACACCCGCACACCGCTTGCTTTGGAAAACTGCCTTTTCCTGTACTTCTGCTCCCGCCCCATCACGCATTATGGGGTTTGCAATCCATGCAAAGCCCTGGGAAGGGCCAAGCTTTTTGCTTTTTCACGCGGGATGATTCAGGCTCTGTATGTGTGTTGCGTTATTTATTTATTCATTTTTGTTTCCTCCGCTTCTCCCTTTGGCAATTGCCCGAAAGGGAGGACCAGCCTCAGCATCTTTCTCCAGCTGCAAAAGTAGGAAGGCGTGGGCGGGGCCTCGCGAGGAGGCGGGGTCCAGCGGAGGCCCCGCCCCTTCCGACCTTGTCCGGGGAGCCGCTCAGCCTCCGCCGGTCAAAGGAGATTAGCGCGTCTTGCGCTCGTCTGCAGGTAAAGAGGGTCGGGGGGGGGGGGGAAGGTTGGCGTGTTTTGCATGCACACGTGCACCCGCAGACCCGTGCAGGCTGGCTTCCCTCCCTGGAAGGATGCAGAGAGGCAGCTGAGGCTTCCCACGCCTTTTTTTTTTTTTTTTGACCCATCCCTGCGGGAAGATGAATCTGTCTCCTCTCTGCAAAACACCTGTCCTTTTAATTTCATTTAATTTATTTTTTTTTTCCTCTTTCTTCCATGCTGATGCAGACGCCAGGCGGGGCAAATCCTTGCTTGCAAAGGCAGAATCGCCCCACTTTTGAACCCCCGGGTTTGCAGAAAGGGAAATTCAGGCCCTTAACTGGGATCTGCCCACCTTTTCTTGCTGGCTTGCTTGATGTTGTCCAGTCCTTTGCTGCCCCCAAGCTGTAGCTGCAGATACTGGTCCTGATGGGAACTTCTGGAGAGTCCCTGGCGTTGGCTGGGCCTACCTTGCAGGGATCTCAGGAGGATTAAAAAAAAAGATTTGGGAGGCTTTAGACCCACCCATCTTGCCAGCCTTCAGAATTATCCTGAATTTTGCAAAGGAGACCTGTGGGTAAAAAAAAAATGATCTCTTTTCTATTCGGATTAGCTTTTGAGGTGGAAAGGATGCAACTAAAAGCCGAATGAGATGAAGGCAAGTCTGACTAAAGGGGAGGTTGGGAATGGGGGCTTCTGAGGGCTCCAAGGATTGTTTTTTTTTTTTTTGTCCTGCCATTTGATCAAAATGACTGAGTCACACCGGGAAATAAGTTGAGATCTGGGTAACTTCCTTTGCAGCCTGTTTCGTCCCCGTCTTTCGTCCGCTGCAGCAGATTGATCAAGCTGAGTCAGTCTTTTCCACCCACCCTGCGTGTTTTGAATCTAGTGGAAAGTGGATTTTTTTTTTAATTTGGCATCTGAGCAGCCTGGATGCTTTATTGGGAAATTAGGAAGCTCTCCTTCCCATCAAAGTTAATCTCTCCCTTTCATTTAAGGGCAGATCCAGCATCTCTCCACTGCGGAACTCTCTGACAACTGCTGTTAAAATGTTTTATTTTTGGCAAGGAGCGTATTTTTAGGTCAAAGCAAGGCAACTGTTTAGCCAAGGTATGAAATAAAGTCAATAAATTAGATTTTATTGTGCTGGCCGAAAGTTAATTTTTGCATTGCATTTTTCCTCTTTAAATGATTTGGCAGATTCTGGCAAGGAGCTTTTTTGGCTTATTATGCCATTAAGCACATTTAACTGGGTTGAAATGAAACTTCCCCAAATTATGTTTCGATGAGTTCCCTTTTTTTTCCCGTTCAGGATTTTGGAGCCTTTACACAGATTCTGTTCTTGGTCCTGAAGTTGTAATGATGATCAAAGTTGAGCCAATGTTTTCTGCAGATGTTAAGGTAGGGGAAAAGGACAAAGGAAATATAAAAAGATAGTCCAGCAATTTTATAGAGTTTTTTTTTTAAAAAAAAGGAATTTATCTTTATCTTTTAGGCTCAATTTGGAATATCTCCATTCTGGTTTGTTTGGTATAAGTATAAAAATCTGAGCATCTCCAAAGGTGTTCCCTGATCGGGGAGTTTTTCGCCCCGTTATCTGAATTAAATACAGGGTGAGATTTATACGACATTGCAGTTTTAAATGTCAGTGTTTTCAGATTGGCTTTTGATCTGGAAAGGAATCAACAAAAATCCAAACCAGATGAAGGCAAGTTTGAAAGGGAGGTTGAAAAATCCCTTATAAAACCTGGATGCTTTTAAATCCATTTATTTATAGCATCTGTTAAAGCAATGCCCCCCCCCTCTCCCTTCTCTCTCTAGTTTCCAAAGCTTGTGCTTAACCTAGAAAGATTAAAACCAAAGAGGTTTTTTCATTGTCCTTCCTGTCCAATTCTTTCTGCTTCCTACCCCTTCCAGAAGGGCCCATCATCCTTAGTCATGGCAGATGGGGTCTGGAATCCTTTCTGAGAGTCCCAAGTCTCCCAGTATGATATGATTCCGTTCTCTGGATCATCCGGTACTTTTCCTGAAGGCTTCAGATGAAATAAATAGGAATATATACATGTCCATTCAGGGATTTGATTTAGATCTGAATGAAAGATGAACAAATTTTTTTAAAAAAAAAAAAACAGCCCAGAAGGATCAACTTTCCCTGTTTCCATGGCAACAGCCAAGCGGCCTAACAGTCCTTGGTTACAGAGACCATCCATCCTTTATTATTAAGGACAGTCCTTTATTTCACAAAACTGGTTTATTTTTCCAACAGCCATATTTTTGTTCTGGATTTTTCTTTGTCGTGCGAAGTTACGAAGATAAATAATTAGCATTTTTGGTCCTTATGCATAGACTTTCGGATTTGCCAGCTTTTCTAGGTTTCTATTTTTTTCCAAGAAAATATGGTCATTGAATTGCTGGTCTACCTTAAAATCCTCATCTTTATTTATCTAAAGAGATGCTGAGAGGTGAGGTTTGTCCCAGGATGCTGGTTTAAAATAGAAAGCAATGAACAATTGAGGAATATTCATTGTTTTTGGCTTGTCATAAGGCTAATTCAGTTGGCTGTTCCACTTCCTGTTTTGTACGGCCAGGTAGCCTAATTTGCAAAGGTAGTTTATTATGGTTTATTCCAGAAAATATCAACAACAAATAAAATCCTGATTATATCCATAGACCAGCATAAGAGGGTAGGGTGCAGCCATGAAAAAGAAGAATAAAGGAGAGAGAGAGTGAGAGAGCTAAAACATCTAAAAATGATGCTCAAAAGCTAGAAGATATAAAAGATATATATATATAAAAAAAGGAGAATTTAAAAGAAGTGGTAGGAAGATCAGATGAGACTAGAGGAACAAACAAAAGTTTCTGGAAGATTATACAGGTAGTCCTCTACTTACGACAAGAATTATGGTTGTAAGTTGTGCTGATCGTTAATGGGTCATCAGGTGATTGTGCCCGATTTTATACAGTGGTGGTTAAGCAAAATGGCGGCCATTCAGCCAACCCATTGTACCCAATGAGTGGTTCAACTGGTTTGGAAGTAGCTCTGGAGAGTAACTCTGCATGTACCAAGTTACCAAGCATTGTAACACGGTGAATTTGGTGCTCAAAAGATCTAGATGAAACCAGCGACGGTTCGGTGTCCAGCTATCTCTTCCTTTTTCCTTAGTTGTGCACAGCAACTGCAACTTAGGTAAATCATCGTTAAGAAGTCATGTGTGAATATGCTGTCCTGTTCTCTCCTCTCTTGCAGGAAAAACTGAGCAGTGATGTTGGCATTAACCCTGGCCTAAGAGCTTTGTGTCTCTTCCTTCCCTTCTGTTTTATGATTCCCACCTCTCTACCTCATTTTGGAACCGGTTTAAGATGCGCGCTTGGACAGCTGTGGCCAGCACCCTCACCTTCCTAGGGACGGATGTGACGTTGACCACCCTGTTGTACGAACACAACCGCCACAGCAGGACCATCCTTCAGGATCTCAAGCACTTCAACATCTTTGACTCCATGCTGGATATTTGGGGCTCTTGTCTGTATCGCAGCTGCCTGCTCTTGGGGGCCTCCATTGGGGTGGCCAAAAACACCAGTTATGGTCCCAGACGGTTGAAAGGGTCCCGGATCTTTATCATCTTGGTCTGCTTGGCGATTGGGATTTATGCCCTGGTCAAGTTGCTTCTTTATTCTGAAGTGAGAAAGACCATCAAGGACCCTTGGTTTTGGGGTTTGTTCGCCTGGACCTACATCTCGCTGGTGGCCACTTTCTCTTTTTGGCAGCTGCTTTCCTCTGTGACCCCTGCCAGGGATACCTTGGAGATTAATTCAGAATCCAGGGCTGAAGCAGAAGACGTCGGAGACCCCAGTTCTCCTGGGGTTCAGGGAAAGAAAGAGGAGGCCTCAGCTGCCACCATTTGTAAACTCCTGTCCTACACCAAGCCAGATGTTCACTTCCTTGTGGTGGCCTTTTTCTTCCTCTTACTAGCTGCTTTAGGTGAGTAGTTTGGGTATAAAAATAGAACAAGGTGAATACTCCTAATTGCCTTTGTGTTGTGTTTGAAAGGTTAATGACTGTGGTTTTGCGACATTAGGAGTGGTGTAGATGGTTAAAGTTTACTGAATGTTTGATGATTTTGTGGGAAAGATCAATATCAAACTGGAAGTTAATGTAACCTATAATAATTGAAATTGGTTTATTCAAAGCATGGATCCTTTGGTCATTCTTAAATTCCAGATGAGTTGAGTGGCCACTTCTCTTGCGATCTGCAACATCTGGTAGATCATAGCTCGTTCATCTCTACTTAGCGCCATCAACTAATTCCCAACTTTTTCAAATCTTTTGAGACTTGGGAAAGAAATTGCTCTGAAGTTGACCGCCAAATCCTTGTGCTTTTCACTTTTATTCTGATTTTTTGCTTCTCAACAGGAGAAACCTTCCTTCCATACTACACTGGCCAGGCCATTGATGGGATAGTCATCCAGAAGTCCATGGACCAGTTTTCCAAGGCAGTGGTGATCATGGCGTTTCTAGCCATAGGAAGGTAGCTTCATTAGACCGTTGGCGTGTTTACTATCTTACAGTCTGAAGATTGAAATGCATGGTTGTTGCGTGACGTAGCTTGCAATGGTTCCAGGCTGTCATGTAGATTGTCTCTTACATGGGAACTTCCAAGAAATTGCAAGTTCTGGAATTGGGGAAAGAACACAAGTTAAAATGAGTGGGATTGTGTGGAATAATCTTTTCTGCTCCTTCCATGGTGTGTGTGTGTGTGTGTGTGTGTGTGTGTGTCTGGGAAACCTTGCAGGGAAGGAAAGATATCGTGGGAGAAGTTCTGAAATTCCTCAAATTGAAAAATCTCCTTTATAGAACATTACAGATGGAGTTCCATGGGAAAGGTCCAAATTTTACTCCTGTCCTGTAAAGATACTGCTTTTGCACAATGCTCTCTTGGTTTTAAAATTACATTTGAGTGTAATGTTTGGGAGCAAAATCTGAGTTGAATCTTACGGGTGTCTCTCTGAAGCATTCCTTTCTTGATAGCGTATAGGTAATTCTGGGCTTAGGGGTGTTGCGTGTGTTGGTTTCTGCCAGTCCTATAACATCTCTTATCTGCAATCAGCTCATTTACCGCAGGTATCCGAGGCGGCCTCTTCACCCTGGTGTTTGCTAGATTGAATATCAGGCTCCGTAACAGACTGTTTCGATCGCTAATGGTGCAGGAAATGAGTTTCTTTGACGAAAATCTCACTGGTGAGTTTCTCTATATTTTGGGTCAGGTCAGGAGTGGGGGGGGGCATGACCCTGCAAATGTTGGTCAAGTACAGTATCACTAATCAGGCTGGTTGGGACTATTGGGAATTGTAGTTCAGGAGAATCTGTAGGCTGGTAGATTGAACACCTTTAGTCTAGACTGGTGTTTCTGAATCTTGGCAACTTTGAGACACGTGGACTTCAACTCCCAGAATTCCCCCAAGCTTAAAGTTTCTGAAGCTTGAGAATATTGACTTTGTTGGAAAAGCAGAGTGCTAATACTTCTTCAGTGCCATTTTCTATAGACTGTATTCTCTTGTTGTGTTTTCTTTTCCGTTGATCCTTTGTCTTCTGTCCTCCTTCCTCTCTCGCAGGTGACATCATTTCCCGACTCACATCAGACACAACCATTGTGAGCGACCTTGTCTCCCAAAACATCAACATCTTTTTGCGCAACCTGGTCAAAGCCACCGGGGTCATTGTTTTCATGTTTAGTCTCTCGTGGCAGCTGTCCTTGGTGACCTTCATGGGCTTCCCTATAATCATGCTGATGTCAGACGTTTATGGGAAATACTATAAGGTTAGTTTTATGGAGGTCTTAGAATATTCCTTTAATCCTTGGCAACGTTTGGGGGAAGATCTCTTAAACCCCTGTGTTGCTAGTTATGGTCAGGTCAACTGATATATGTGAATGATCACATATTGTTCAAATACTTTTAGGCTAACGTTGAATTTTGGTAAGGCTCCCCAAATTATGAAAGATGCTCAGAGCTACTTCTAAGCAGTTTCCATTAATGTCCCTCACCTGCAGACAGAATCTTGCCAAACTAAAGTAACTACTTGCATAGCTAAAGATTTATTCTGAGAACTTCTAGGGAGGTACCATCTTAACTCTCTTCCTCCCAACTAAACTCTAAACTTTGCTGTCTCTTGCTCCTCTGGAATGCAGCCCCTCCTTTCTCGGAATCCAGACGATGTTCCACCACAGTTTTCTTCTCAAAGCCACATCTGGCCCTGGATACTGACTGCACATATATGCACATACCTGTATTTCTATTTAGCATCTGGAATGTCATGTGAGCTCCCAGATTTGAGGGCAGCTTGGAGTACTGTTAAAGTAGGACATTTTTAGAGGTGGCTCTTCTTCTTTCTTTTTACCAAGTAGAAGCTCTCTAAAGAAGTCCAGAATGCGTTGGCCAAGGCGAACAACACCGCCGAAGAAACCATCTCCGCTATGAGGACAGTCCGAAGCTTTGCCAACGAGGAGGCCGAGGCTGACGTCTATTGGGAGAAATTGCAGCAAGTCTACAAACTTAATAAAAAAGAGGCGATGGCTTACACCTACTATGTGTGGTCAAATGGAGTAGGTTGAAATGTGTCCTTCTCTCTTCAACAGAAATAACTAAGAGGGCTTTTTTTTTTTAATCTTTTCTGTCCTTTCTTCAGTTCTGCTTTGGGCACACAGCAAGGGGAAGGGATTCTCAGATGTATACCAAAAGATATGGTTCTCTTAGGCCAAGAGTAAATAAGAGCACATTTATTGTGCCAAGTATTTTTTCAGAGTTGCGTTCACGTCAGCAGCTGCCTGAAGTCTCGTCTGTCCTTGCTAACTTAGGAAAGTGCCGATAGAAAAGAATATTTGTAGTTCAGGGCTGAACTGTGGGGTCCTTGGTGTTCCCTGAGCTTGGTGGTTTTGCGGACGTTTCATGACCAAGCTAGGTGTTGCTGATAGGAAAATGTTTTGTGTGTCTGAAGAATTAGACTAGCCTTGCCCAGTTTGGTGTCCTCATGAGTTAAACTGGAGTTCAACTCCAAAGTTGATGGTGATACAAAGCTCAGGTGTTTATCTTTGATTCCAGCTCACCCTACTCATCGTTCAAGTGAGCATCTTATACTATGGAGGCCATCTGGTGATCACAGAGCAAATGACAAGTGGCAACTTGATATCCTTCATTATTTATGAATTCGTCTTGGGGGACTGCATGGAGGTAAGTGACACTTTTTAGACCATCTCTGTATTCTTGTCTGAAAGGAATCAGCGTCTCTGATCTCAGCTGAATATCTTCCACTGTTTTCCCCTATGCGTGGGCTGGGTTTTTGTAAATATGAAGACTGACCACGGTTGAAGTTGTCTTAAAATGCCTTTTATAGAAGTTGTCAACCAAATCTGTCCTTCATAAACATCCTAGCCATTTTTCTGTTAAAAATTAGAGGTGTCCGTGGACTTAATCTTTTTTATGGGTTATTCGTCTGCAGCCTACAATTTAGATTTCTTTAAGGCAGAAATGTAAAATGGCCCTTATTCAGAATTGTATTTTCTCAGGCATATTTCTTTTCAAATGCAGAACAATGAGCTTCTTACAACCCCAATTGCACAGTAAGATTTTTGTTGAAATGAAAATACCTAGTAATTTTTTTTTCTTTCTCTCTTTTAGTCCATTGGTTCAGTTTACAGCGGCCTCATGCAGGGTGTGGGAGCCGCTGAAAAGGTATTTGAGTTCATAGACCGTCAGCCCACAATGTTAAATGATGGGACTCTGGCTCCTAGCCAACTGGAAGGAAAAGTGGAATTCAGGAATGTCACTTTTGCTTACCGCACTCGTCCTTCGTCCCAGGTTTTACAGGTAAGTTTCTCATATTTATATATTTTTGGTGTGCAAAAAATTCCAGATCTAAAGAAGAAGGATGAAAAGAATAAGTGCTGAACTTTCTTCCCATGGTTCTAAAACCATAGTTTCTCCATATTATTTCTTTAGAGTTTTGGTGGGGCTAAAGAACATCTTTCCAAGTGATTTCAAGCTCTAGGCATACACCTGCCTTGGAAAGGTAACCCCAAAAGATGCCAAGTCATGGATGAGACATGATGATGATCTGTTGGTCTTGTAGGATGTCTCCTTCATTCTCCATCCTGGGAAAGTAACAGCGCTGGTGGGGCCTTCAGGCAGCGGGAAGAGTTCCTGTGTCAACATCATGGAGAACTTCTACCCTCTTCAACAGGGCCAGGTTCTTCTGGATGGACAGCCTATCAGTCTGTATCAACACAAGTATCTTCACTCGGTGGTATGAATCGCCAATAGCTGGCGGCCTAGATTGGCTGGGTATGACAAGATTCGTTTCCAGGAAGGACACCTTAGCCCTTCAGGTTGTGGAGATAGTTGTGATAAAATCACCAAGGACGAATTAGGCTTCTAACTGTCTGAAGGACTCACTCATCCCTGTAGCTCATAGCTAGCAAGTCCCATTGGTTAGATAAAACCAACTATCATTTTCTTTCAACTGAAAAATGTGTAAAGTTTGAAGAGTTCATCTTGGATCCCCAAAATGGAGAGAATTGGTTCCTTGAGTGATGGTTTGACAGCCAACCTGCCCCATTGTAGCAGCAGTTGGTGGGAAAGGCAAGGGGAGTCCTTAAGGGTAGCTATAAGTGACTGCATGATGCACCAAGAAACATTACATCATGTAATTCCCATTCATTCAGCAATAGAAGTCTTTCTGATAGTCAACCAATTTTTTCATCAGGTCTTCTCCATCTCTTCACACACACTCCAAACTCCCATTTTCTCTCTAGATCTCCCTGGTGAGCCAAGAGCCAGTCTTGTTTGCCCGATCTATTGCGAAAAACATCTCTTACGGTTTGGACTCAGCCCCGTACGATTTAGTCGTTCAAGCTGCCCAAAATGCCAATGCCCACACCTTTATTATGGAATTGCAAGACGGCTATCACACAGGTAGGGCTTGACACCACAAATCCTCCTGGCGGCAAATGAATCAGCCCTGAAATCGGGGCCGTTAGCGCCACCTTAAGAGGCAAATTAATATTTTTTTTTGTTGAAGTCAGGTTGACGTTGGCTGACAGGATGGCTTATAAAGAAATCCAGCAGGATTTACTATTCTGTTTTTTTTTTCTTCTTTGTTTCCTTCCTGCAGAAGCTGGGGAGAAGGGAACCCAATTGTCCGGCGGTCAGAAGCAGAGAGTGGCGATCGCAAGAGCTTTAATCAGAAACCCACCAATCCTGATTTTGGATGAGGCTACAAGCGCTTTAGATGCAGAGAGTGAACACGCGGTGAGCACGATGGGTTTCCTGTTCAGACTTCCTGAGCCTTCAGCAGAGTTCGTTGTTAGCTAAGATGTCAGAGAACGAGGTCGTTTGTGAACAAAAAGAGATTCTATCTCTTAAGTCAGTGTTTCTGAACCTTGACAACTTTGAGGCATGCGGACGTCAACTCCCAGAATTCCCCAGGCAGCCATGCCTTAGTTACCAAAGGTTCAAAAATACTGCTGTAATTGTCACGTTGCTGACTTCACAGAGAGGATTCTCAGTTAAATCCTTGAGAGAAATCAAAATAAAAACCAATATATGAGCCAAATATTAGATTTACCCAAGAGACACATTTGGGGGGGGGGTCTTCCCAAAACATTGAAAACAGTCTGGGTTTATACAGTACAAATTATCAAAATTAACCCCAACTAAACTTGAGCTTAACAGACGATCACAGCTCCTAACTTGATTAAACATGTTTGAACATAGCTATATTATTAATAAGGACTTGAGGGGTTTTATTGAAACCTGCTCCGTTCTTGTTACTCCTGTTTTGTTGTTTGATTGCTTGGAAGCTCTCCTGAGCAAATAGATGGAATATTTTCCCGTCCGATTTGGGGAGAGTGTTTTGGATGAAAAGTGGGGATGTCTTTTTCTTGATATAATCCATCTCTCTTCCTGGCAGATTCAGAAAGCCATTTATGAACATGTGCAGAATCACACGGTGCTGGTCATCGCCCATAGACTAAGCACTGTGGAAAAGGCACACCACATCATTGTTCTTGACAAGGGCCGTGTGGTACAGCAAGGAACGCATAAGCAGCTTATGGAAGAAGGCGGCCTTTATTACAAGCTAGTGCAAAGACAGATTCTTGGCCGTGAAACAGGCACAGGGGACAGCTGTCCAGTGGATGGTGGCTTGGCTAACATCCAGAAAGGTTCTCCCAAGACAGGATTGGCAGAAGAGATAAAGAAGTGACACCACAATTGCTGAACTTGAAGATGCTCAACTGGACCGTCCGGCTGTCAACTGATCCCAGGAGTGAATGTAACAAGGGTTCCCATCAAACCCTAGATGGAAGAGTTATCATCTTTCACAGGGCTTCCCTAGTCTTCCTTATCTGATGGTGGCTAATTAAACAATCCTAAGCAGTTGTCCAACCTGAATTACGCCCAGGAGGTAGCCTCCTGTAGATCAGAAAGAAAACCAGATGCAGTTCTCTTAACGGGCTATGTGTTCTTCCCACTGATATACCTTGCAAACTTTGCTCTTAACATATAAACGGGCATGGTTTTAGGGGTGTGCACTATAAGGAAGAATAAAGACCTTTGATGGACCTCCATGTTGGCTCACCACTATGGGCCAAGATGGAAATAACATGCTTGGGATTGGCATTGAAGCCAACCGGTTGACTTTGGGATCACTCTGGTGCCTACAGATTTTCCTTTGTGCTTCCATGAAAGTTGAACTGGAACTCCAGATCTAATGCACTTTCCATAGGGAGCCTGGCTCATCCGGAATTTAGAATGTCTTGATATCTACGTGTTGTAGTCCAGGTCAATGGTTCCCTGGGTATCTCTGGTGAACTGTGGTACTCCACAAGCTGCATATGCATGAAGGTTTTCTTATAAAACCAGCGCTGTTTCAGTTGGGTAGGGGTTATTTCTGATTGTTCTCAGAGGTAGTAGCAGTAGCATCCCTAATGGCATTGCAATAAAACCTCCAGCCCTAACAACAGAGAGAACAAGAGGACTGCACCTGTTATCTGCAGTGCATACCTGAATGGCAATAAAGGTGGAGAGAGAGCCTTGGTTAGGAGAAATGGGCTGTTTTATTGCCATTGGAATTATTTACATTTTTATCGCTGGTATGCACAGTTGCACACAATTTGGGTTGGGCACCTGAATATCCCAACTAGCAAGTCAGCTCTGTTTGCAAACTATTTATTTCTCAAGAACAAAGGTTTTGTTTTCCTTTTTTTGTTTTGTTTTAATGCCTAAAATCAGACAAGTCAGTTTTAAAATACGCTCATTTTGCCAGGGAACATTTTCTTTCAAATTATATTTTAAGATATAGATTCTGCTAAAAATTCCAGATATTGAGGGTTATAGTTGTTTTGTTTAGTTAATTAGTTAAATCATCAAGCATCAGTTTTCCAAATTATTTTGATGGGTTTGTTGTGTTCCAACTAACAAAGAAAAGGAAAGGGGGGGGGGAAACCCTCCCAAATCTAGCTGCGTAATTTGACCTATTTTGATCTATGATGTTTCCAGCTGGATAAATATTAGAGTTCTCAGCCAAATATGTGCTTAAAAAAACAAAACTGTGAATTGAAGTGGAACAATTACCCGGCAACCCTTAATCTTAGTAATCCTGAAAAGGTAATTTGTTCTCTCTGGGTAGCCTTTCCAGTTGCACTCGGTTGTAAAATGACTCAAGCACTTTATCACATTTTAATTACTTTCTGATACTTCGATGAGCAGATTTTTGTTGTTAGCAGTGTTTCAAAAGAACATATTTTACAAGCACTTCACTAAATTAAACAACAAAAAAGACTACCTCTGATATTCTACTTTTAGTGTCTGTGTCTTCAATAATCTGTCCCAAATAGCCTTTTATTGGTAGAGTCCCCATCCAAGAGATAGCAAATGTTTCTTGATTAACAACAACAAAGAGTTAACCCCTTTAATGTAATATTTGTTTATGCTCTGCTGGTGAAAAGAAAAAAAGTTATTCTTTTTTTTTTTTTGATAAAGCCAGTTCTTCCTAACTTTGCTTTGCAAAGTAAAGTTAATCTATTGCTTCCATTACTCAAGGTAGCATGGTCCATAATAATGCAAGTTATGGACAGAGATACTATAGGTCCCATGGATGAGCAGGACAAACGGCTGATTTTCTTACATTCTCTTTCGTTGTCTTGCGTTAATTGCAAATAATTTCCTTGACTTTGCTGGCACCATCGTGAAATTTGTTTTATGCTGGTTTCTACAACCCGGTCTTCACCCAACCTTTTATGCCCCCTTACTCAAAGGTTTGGCATTTTATGTACATCTTTTATTTGCAGTCTTGATACATGTACCATTGCGCCAACAACAATAGAGATGGCCAGTGAAGTTTACCGAGTAAACATACATGGATTTATGAGAATTTGAACTGGTAGTAGGATGGTTTAATCGGCTATCTCGGGAGAAGGTTGAAGGCTTCTTAAGAGTGCAGGTAGTCCTTGATTTACAACCAAAATTGGCACCAGAATTTCTGTTGCTAAGCAAGGCAGTTATTAAGGGAGTCCTGTCTGATTTTAAGACCTTTTTGCCACAGTTGCTAAGCGAGTGTTATCTCCCGTCATTGAGTGTATCCAGCTTCCTCCCATTGATTTTGCTCATGTGTCACTTTCCAAATGTCTGAATTTTGATCATATGACCTTGGGGATGCTACAAAGAGGGTAAGTGGAGGACTGGTTGTATATCACGTTTTTCAGTGCCGTTGTAACTTTGAACAGTTGCTAAATGAACAGTTGTGAGTCAAGGATTACTTGCAGGCTTGCAAATTAAATCCTGTATGAACTTTCCAGTATAGCTAGCTATTGTCATACATTCAGCTCAAAGAAGTGGGTGTGCATCCTGAAAGCACAATTACAAATAAATCAGGTCAAATGCCTCCTCCTATTGCAGGAATTATTCAAAGAGGCTGGGTGCCAACTCTTTGTAATTAACAAAATTAAATAATCATGACAGGTTTCAAGTGAATCCTGGATGTATGTACCTAGGCACTGACACGCCTCACCTTGAGATTTCATAGACCAAGGGAAGGATTTCATATTGGAAATGGGAAGTCGGAGAGAATGATGCAATTAAATTGTATTAATACAGCTCCAAATCTGATAAGGTAATTGAACAAATTCCATTCAATGCAAATGTGTGACTTTATTAAAATGGAGGTGGCCAGTCTCTGAACCTCAGATGCAAGATCCAAATGTTTTCTGCTCAGCCCAAGAGCAAATTCTACTAAAATAACTATCTTTTATCCTCGGGGTAGAGAGAAATTGGTCCAAGGAAGAATTGCAACCTCAAATCTTCCCATGCTAAGGAGGCTGGAAGGTATGTCAAATTATTCCTGAATTGTTCCACCACAATGCTAACTCTCAGGTTGTTTTCTTTTCCTCCTATATTTAGTTTGAACTAATTATAAAACATTAGGAAGAGGGAAAGGAATGGGTTTTTCTTTGACCTGCAGAATGCCAAAGCTCAAATCAGGAAATCCGGTCTGGAAAAAAACGATCAGCTGGACTATTGTTGACATATTTAGCTATCAAGGCTTCCCTGGCAATGGAGAAGGCACACCTTGAGTTGTGCAATGCCAGGTTATCATTTTAAACCTTGCCCTTGAAGTTGTTTAGAAATTTTAGCTTGGAGAGAGCGAAGACCACATCTGTACTTAAAGATGCAGGTCTCTTTTAAAGTTAAAAAAAGGCGTTCTCCCCTATGAGAATGCAGATGAATGCTCCAGTTAGGAGACCTACAAAGTGTAATAGTGAAAATCAATGCGTTTTTGAGCATTCTGATTATTGCATTGGTTTTCATCCACTAGCTACAGCCTATGTAGCATTTTTCTTGTCTACTGCCCTGTCTTAAAAGCACGTAAGTTAGCAAAATGCAAAGGGGGTATCTCTTCAAGATATTAAAAAGACCAGCCTTAACAATTATCTCAAAGATTCGGTTATGCAAGTTCAAAAATATGTTTAATTATTTGTAGCAAAAGAAACCTCAAAAGCATGTAACTTATGTACCAAAGGTGAACTTAAGCATTCATCTCAAGTTACACCATTAAAATGTTAACTTTCCAATCATTAAGTCATAGTGGGGGGGAAATGGAAACGAAGCTGATAAATGAGCATATGCAGTCCAGATTATTTATTTATTTGTTTGTTTGTTTATTTCCCTCCCTCCCCTTGAGAGAATCTATACTACAGCAATCAGCCAAGGGGGAGAGAGAGAGACTGGATCATCCAGGCAAAGAAGCCTAAATAAATAAAACACATTAAAAAAAATAAAATTTTATTTTAATCGTGAAGTTTAAAACAGGCGGGGAAAGCGCTTCTTCTCCGCGAGCCCTCAGCGCGTTTTCCCGCCATTTTTGACTTTCGGGGAGGGAAGGGGGAGCGCGAGAGGCGTGATGACGTCTACCTCCCCGCCCTCCTCCCTCCCTCCCTTTCCTACCTGCTGGCGAGAGGGAGGAGGGAGGGGGCCGGGAAGAGCGGCAGCAGCCACTTCCGGTGGAGCGGCGGGAGGGGCGGGCACAGCCGCCGCCGCCAGCGCAGAGCTGCGGAGGGCGGCGATCGGAGCGGACGTTCTTTTCTCGTCTGCCTCTTCCTCCTCCTCCTCTTCTTCCTCGCCCGACATGGCGGTGGACGTCAGGCGGTTGGAGGGCCTGAGCCTTCACCAGCTCAACGAGCTCCTGGAAGACGAGGAGCAGCTCCAGAACATGGCCCTGGAGATGGAGGAGGTAGGGCGGCCAGCCCCAGGGGGAGAAGGGTGAGGGTCCCAAGGGGGAGAATGGAGGAAAGGGGGACCCCACGAGGGAAGATTTGGGGAGTGGGAGGCCCCAAGGGGGAGAATTGAAGAAAGGGGGACCCCAAGGGGGAAAGTTTGGGGGGGCGGTCCCAAAGGGGGGAATTGGGGCTGGGGAGGGGGTCTCAAGTTAGGAATTGGCGGGGCTCTGAAGGAGGGGAAGCTCAAGAGGGGCAACTTGGTTTCCCAGGAAACGGGAGTTTCAGCGTCTCTCTTTTTTTTTTTTTTTGCTATGACTACTCTGGGCGTTAAACCAAGTCACCCCATTGGCGTTTATGGGTCTCCCAGCCCCTGGGTGGCTTTTTACATCTGGTCAAAATGGGACTCTGGAGATGCTCAGTCATCCAAGCCATAGTTGTATTTTGAAAAAAGCACCTTTGAGACTTTTAACAGCTGTGTCCGTCCCCTATTGGGCATTGGGGGGGGGGGAGAGATGCTGAGGTTTCCCTGTAGCCCCAGGCTCCATAGCAAAACTGGGGTCCAGACGGAGCTTTACATCTGGGATTCTTGGGAAGCCCCTTTTTCAGATTTAGCTGGCTTTGGGAAAGTGACCCCAGATTCCTGATTTGGGGGTTTACTCTACATTAACAGGTCTTTCCCGCGGCCAAACTTGCCTTGCAGGAGGGGGGAAGGGAGCAGGTCTATTTCTGTCTTGAGTTTGTCCAAAGAGTTCTGGGAGGCACAAAGTTTCATTTGCTGATTTTTGTCCATTGGTATTAGGTCTAAGAATAGCCCGGCTGGCTTGGGAGGGCTTGCTTTCTGCTTAATAACAGCCGTGGCCGTTTCTCCTTTCAATAAGGAAGTGGTGTGCTTAAAAAGCCAGGGTGCTCTGCGTTCTTGGTGGGAGGTGGGCTATGCCCTTTTGGGGAGCTGTGCAGGAAGTTGCAGTAAAAATGTAGGAAAACACAAAGTGGATAGATAGATCAACAGGTTGCCTGTCTTTGGCCATAAGAGTTTGTTGTGGTTTGTGGGGAAGAAACAATTATTTGCTTGTTGGTGAGGGTGTTCTCCTTGGGATCGCAGAGCCTGCTTTGAAATTAGGGTGAGGAAGATGGAGTTGGCTTGACCGTGATTGGAGTGTGGATTTAGGTGATTGTGCATCAATTCACAACCTTGTGGCTATTGTGGGAATAATGCAGCGTTGTGAGAATGGGAGAGCTGTGAGAATGGAAGAGCGAGGTTGAGAGAGGTGAGGAAGGGCGGCAGCCTCCCACGTTGATTTCTTATCGTGTAAAAACAAAAGGACTTATTAACCAAAAGATAAAGCCTGATTTTTAGGTTCCCCAACTAACGGGCTTGACTGATTGAGTTACTTCTGTTTTTGCATTTAGAGTGTAATTTCTTGCCCTGTAGACATGAGTAATTTCTGAAAAGAAGATGGGATCTCCTTAAGCGTTGAAGGCAGTCCTTGAACAGGGCAGCCATCTGGTGGCTCAGTCACAGGGGAATAGCTTGAATTCATTGTTAATTTCATATTGCTTCCACAATAAATGTAGTTCATATCCCCTCCGCCCCATTTCTGTGCTCTGGTTACTTGATGGGGAAAAAACATTTTCAGTAACATAGGGTCCCGGCTTCTGATCTGCCCATCAAGCGGCCTAACAATGACTAATCCTAATTGTATTCACTGGGGGGAAAAAACTGGAATATTCTATGTTCCTTTTGCGTCATTTGAACCTGGCTCCCAAGGCTTTCTCTAGGATCAGAACTTTTGTTCCATATTGCCTGCAGGGTAGACTGCATTCCAGGATAATTTTGAACGCTATATTCCGCTCACTTCCTTGAGTAAGGAGCTACTGAAGCATGAAAAGGAAGGCCCGAAGTAGTTCCTTCTTCAATTTGTTACAGACGAAGTTCCTGAATTTAGCAAACATATGCCTTGCTAATTAATCGTACCCACACTTGCAAATTTGTGACTTCACACCTTATCCTGTTATTGTTGCACTTACTTTTTGCTAACTTGAGATTTGGGCTGCTTTATCCTTGAATAATTTTGCATCTGGGAACTTTGTTCTAGCTGCCAGTCAAAGAAAGGACTTCTGTGTCTTCACAAATCTTTCCTGCCTGGCTCTGTGCTCTTTTGTTGTTTGGAATTCATACAGTGAAGGAGGATCTTTAATTCCTAGTCACTCCGTGGTAACCAGCTAATACAAAATCTAAAAAGCCGCCAAACAGCGCTAGGAACAGCTGAGCTTCGAGTCTGAAAGGGCATTTTGTAAACTGTAGAAATACTCCCATGCAGCGGCTGGCTAAGGTTGTGAAAGACTTTCTGATATAATACTCTCCTTGTATTCAAGGCTGCGAGGAAGCATTGCAACAGAATGAAACTAATATCCGTTTGTGGTTTTAATTCAAGCAAAAATGAAGCCGTAACTAACGTGCCTCTTTTGCTCCTTTTACAGCCAGATGTCCTGATTTGACAAAACGAATCCTCTATTTTGTGGGTGATATCTTTATGTGGAGGGACATCCAATTATTTTATAAAACAGCCGACAAGAAATGTCAGTTTTATTGTATTGATGACATAATAATAATAATGTTGGAAGGGACCTTGGAGGTCATCTAGTCCAAGCCCCTGCTCAGGCAAGAAACCTTATACCATTTCAGACAAATGACTGTCCAGTCTCTTCTTAAAAACCTCCAGTGTTGGAGCATTCACCGCTTCTGGAGGCAGGTTGTTCCACTGGTTAATTGTTGTCACTGTCAGGAACTTTCTCCTTAGTTCTAGGTTGCTTCTCTCCTTGATTAGTTTCCATCCATTGCTTCTTGTCCTGCCTTCTGGTACTTTGGAGAATAGTGGGAAATCAACTTTTCTTGACTGTGATGTACTTTAAGTTATTTTACTGTGTGAGCTGGCATCTAGAGTTACATTTTCAATGTTAATAGTAGCCGTGTGGGAGACCCACCGGTTAAAGAGGTAGAATAACCTTGAGCATTTTACCTTTATTTCCCATTGTAAGTCTCACATCTTGACTACAGAGGGACCAGGGGTGTTTGTAATGCAAGTGCAGACAAAGCAGTATTTACCATTTGAGCAGGGCTGGAGTTAGTCCTAAAGCTTTGGTCAGTAAACTCTTGACTGCCATTTATGCCCTGTGCTTCTCTTCAATTGGCAGACTTACTACTTTATTAAGTAATTGGCCTGTAATTAGACACAGAGTCTGGAATAAATTAATTATTGGGCTACCCTGTGTTAATTTTTCATGCTTTCAGTCACTTGCTCCAACATTTTTAAACTCTAGAATTACAAAGGAGAGAATTCACTTACCCTTTAAAGTAATTTTCCTCCGCCTGAAGGACGTGAAGAAACATTTCTTGCCACTTTTAACATGCTTTTGCTCTCTGTTCTTGAAATAAGTTGTTGCTTTTGGGTTTGTTTGTTTTTTTTTGTGCCTGATACTTTTTTTTTATTCTTCCTTCCTCCAATACTTAAGAGGCTTTTTGCTATTCCAATTATGTAGAATGATCTACCAAAAGAAATCTTTCTCAACCAAAGGTCTTGGAAATGCATTTGGGTTGCCATGCTACAGCATTACAGTATAAACTGTTATAGAACTCTCAAAAACATAACCTGGTCAGTATTGCACGAAATCAAAACAGAAGAGATTTAAACGGTTCAGGACTATGCCAGCTGATAGGATTTCATAGACAGTCCCTTGTATTCCCACGAAGTTTTGTCCTAGAAGAGAAAGCAAACAATCTAATAGATAGAGAGATTTCTTGGCTCCATTACCCTGTTTTCCAACCTCACCGTGAATGTGGTCATGTCCTCTTCTGCCAACATGAAATTAGGTTTTAAGACTACTAATTAACCATGCCAGTAACTACAGGCTGGTTTTCTGTTCCAGCGGTCAGTCCATTAAGAAAAGCCTGTTTTTTGTTTTTTTTTACAAATAGCTTACTCTGTCATCATGGCATGGATATGTTGAAATGCACAAAAGGGGTGGGGAGGGAGAAAGGTTCTCAAAAAGAGGATAGAGAGAAACAGCCATGGGACTGGGAAAGAACGTGACTTTGGTTAAACGAAGGGGTCTTTCTTTAGAATACGACGACACGAGTTTTTATGAAAAAATATCCTCCGTGGTAATGCAGATTCTCTGAAAAGCCAGGTCAGATAGGTACTACTTCCTTGTGTGTGCTATAGTCATTATTAGTTTGTGAAAATATAAGAAACAGCCAGTGGATTAATGAAGGGGTCCCCAAATCTTGTGGATTGGCACCAGTCCGTGTCATGCCAGAAACTGGTCTGCACAAACAAGCGAAACCCCCTCTGCGGGATGCAGGCAGCACGCAAGACCACCACCCCTCTGGTCCACGGAAAGCCCTCTCTCCGTGGAACTGGTGGTCCCTGGCGCCCAAAAGATTGAATTAATGCATTTCATGAAGCTAAAGTGTAGAGTGGGGGTGTCCAGCCTTGGCAACTTTAAGATTTGTGGATGCTGGCTGAGGAATTCTGGGAGTTGAAGTCCACAAGTCTTAAAGTTGCCAAGGTTGAGAAACCCTGTGCTAATCTCATTGTACATTAGATAGTTTAAAAAAAAAAAAAAAAAAACACACACACACACACACACACACACACACACACATTATAATAGATGTACCTGTGTGTGGGATTCTGTGTTATAGGAGCTAAATATAACATTTTCATTTATATGCCCCAAATATGTAGGCTGATGATCTGGAAGATCGAAAGCAGAGCGATGCACAAGGAGTCCTAAGAAGAGAATTGATGATTGAATGTAGAGAATGCGTTTACCTTTGCCTTTGTTCTCCTTCAGTTTTAGCCTAGCGATTGATTAAGATTGCGTAGCAAGCCTGTTGGGAGTTAGAGTTAAAATCAGTCATTCCCAGGATTAACAAAAGAGGCTGCCTAAATCAGTCCAGGACTGGCCCACTGCCCTCTTTCCCACAATGACCGACTAAGAGTTTCCGCCTCATGGCCAAATTTTTTTCAAGTAGCTCTTTTCGCCTATTTTTGATGGCTCTAAGTGGTCTCACATGACTCATCATTATGTGGCTTTTAATATCTTGAGGGATGGTGCTGGCGTTTGGTACAAAATGGAAGAAAATGATTCATTGCAGTACTCGGTGTTCTGTTTCTCAGTCTGGAGGAGTGGGGAGACGCCAATATATGGGGGGAAACTCGGGGCAGCAGCTGTTCCACCAAGTTGTTATATTGCCTTTATAAAGGAGCTGGTTCTTATTTCCTTGCCTTCCCCTCTCGTTCGTTCCCACCATTCATCTTAAATTGTCAACTCTTGGGGTTTTTTTGTTTTTTTTTTAAAGTTGTGCTGCCTTCAGAGAATGCACATCACGGTTTGGAAAAGCATCCAGCCTCTTCCAGTTCTGTTCACGCTATCTTCTGAGCACAATAAAGGCGCCTTTATCAGATCTGTATAATCCAGGAAACCAGAGGGGAACAGAATCCTGCTGTTCACTCCTGCTGAATGACAGTTCTCATCACACAGTTTCCCTTTTGATCTACAGGGTCTCGTTATGAGCTCTCATAGGAGTCGATGCCAAGCCAGCTTGTTCTGCTTCCCCAAAAGCTCCTCTCTTAGCTTTCTCTCTCCTCCATAAATTAAATTTATAAATCAGGGTGAGGGGCGGATGAGGGGAAGGGGGGGTTGACAGCTTGATTTACATTCTGGCTGTGTTTCCAGTCTGCTTGTTTCTTTGAGAGAGGCCGGCAATCCGGATCGTGTTCCCCTTTCCTCCCGCTAATTAATATGAATACCAGGAAAAAGTGGTTCAACTGCTGTGCTTGCTCACCAGAGAGAAATTTAGAAATATCCCACCTCTGTAATTAATTTTCTGCCTAACCGTCTGCCTCTTTTTCTCTTGCAGGCCCAAAATGTTCAGCTTGGCAAAGATATGACTCTCGCCAGTAACCACAGCCTAGCAGAAGGAAATCTCTTATACCAGCCAAAATTAGATGCCCTGAAAGCCAGGTTAACCCAAAAGTATCAAGAGCTACAGGTTCTCTTCGAAGAGTATCAGATAAAGAAAACCAAGCTAGGTAATATTCCAAAAGAATGAATCCAACCCCCTCGTCTTTTCCATAATCAGCATGGGGTAGCTGGGACGGGCTCCAAATTATTACATAATATAGATGCATATCAAAGTATGGAGTCATTTAAGGATGTACACAGTGAATGAGCTGATGAGCGGCTAATTAATCTAGAGATATTTAAACTTTTATCTGCTCTTTTTATCTAAAGAGGAACCTAATCTTGGTGTCATGGTTGGCTCTGGCATCAAAATATAAACCATATTTTAATTTAGAATTAAACTCATACAAATTAATTAGAAAAAGTACAGCTTGTAGCCAGTTGATGTTTGGTAGCCTCAATTGTTAGTAGTTTGTCTATAGACAAGTTAATTTTTTAAGCTGCTGGTTGTGAGAATAAATGTTTGGGGAAATGAGGTGTTGATAAAAACAGATACATCCTGCACGTTAGTGGTTCCAGTCCCTGGAGATGGCCAGTCTGTTTGGAAAGCTGCCATGTTTCCTTGCCCAGCCCTCAAAAGCTCTATGGAGTACATTGTCTTGTAATAAAACAGGGAGCAGGGCGGTAGAAGTTTCCAAGCAGCCTGTATTATTTCAGTACTCATCGCAGACAGTAAGGTAGCCTGGCCTTGCTTCCACCATGCTTTCCCCTGCATTTTGCAAAAGAGATTAAACTCTGCTTTGTTCCTATCCTACTTTGGTACTGATCAATTGATCACAAGCATCCGTATCTATAAATACGTATGGATGGGTGTGTTTCTGCTGTTCTTGTTCCTCTCAGCCTTCTGGTATATCGCCTAGCATTTTGCAATTGTATTTATTGTAAATAAATATTACAATGCAGGGAGTGGGCTTGTTGGAGAAAGTGCAGCACATCCCAAAATCCATTAGGGAGTTGTGGCTGGGTTAATATTTGAATCAAGACATCCCAACGTTGAAATTCACTTCCTACCCTACTTAACAGTGAAGACATCTCCAAGCAAAGTTTCCTTTAAATATGTACAAAATAAAATGTTTATTTTACCTCTGTCCAGTCTGTTTTACAATCCTGGAATAGTCATCCATCCAAGAATTAAACAGGCTCAATGTTACATAATCATAAACTCCAAACAAAATTAGCCATGGTTGCTAACTCCTGCAGAATATTGAAAGAGAGCTCAAGCATTGTGCTTCCATGTTTTACATCCAGAGTTAATGCATCTTTTCCCATAAAGGTGCATGGGATCAATCTGTTTGCTTGCTATTGGTCCAGCCTCACCCGTCCTATGTGCATTTATTGTTTAAGCCTCAGTTCCAAAAACTGTATGAAACAAAATATATGCCTGACAGGGCAACTAAAGTCACAGTCTCCCCGTTTCTAGCTGAGACTTTAACCACTGCACGAAAACTGGTTTTCAGTTGGTCAGGAATGAAAACCATGCCAGCCCATAATCATTGTAAGCCCTGAACAGACATGCCTTGCGCTCACATTCGTGGCTTCCCTTCTGGGTTTTTACTTTTTAAATGGTTTTACTCTGTGGTAGTCATATATTTAGGAGCTCTGCTTTAATTCATGGCTGTCCCCAATGTCCCACCCCCTCTCCCTTCCTGGTTTGCAGACAGACAATCCAATAACGCTTCGCTGGAGACCCTCCTTGCACTTCTCCAGACTGAGGGAGCCAAAATTGAAGAAGACACTGAGGTAAATAGGGAACATCTGCCATTGGGGTTTGCTGGGATATTGTTCTTTCTTCTGAGGTTTTAGCGCTGCCTCGCAAAGCAAATGGGCTTCTCACGAAATACTAGACCGTTTACAAAAATTACAACTGCGCTAAAAAAAGTGACGGCGGTTTTTCAAAGCTGCGGCCTTTGCAGCATCCCCATGTGGTCAGAATTCAGACGCTCGGCAACTGACTCCTATTTATGAAGGTCGCCGTGTCCCCTTTGGTGGGCCTTCTGACACGCAAAGTCAAAGGGGAAGCCAGAGCCACTGCTCATTTAACAACTGCACCAATTCCACTTAACAAACGTGGCAAAGAAAAGTCGTAAGATGGGGCCAAACTCACTTAACGAATTTCTCCTTTGGCAACAGAAATGTTGGGCTCAACTGTGGTTGTAAGCTGAGGACTACCTGTAGGGTGAGACACATGAGTGGAGAAGCTGCTGTAGTAGTAGGTTAAGTCCTCTCTTCCGAGTTTCCTTCCAGCGGGGAGAGGTAAAGATGCTGTGAGAAACCGGCTCTGCCTTTCCAGGCTGGGTCCCTCCCTCCCTCCCTGCCGGCCTCACCATTTCTTCCTTCTTCCCAACAGAACATGGCCGAGAAGTTTCTGGACGGCGAAGTTCCTCTGGACACCTTCATCGACGAATATCAGAGCCAAAGGAAATTGGCTCACCTCCGGCGGGTCAAAATAGAGAAACTCCAAGAGGTGGTACTGAAAGGACCCCGGCGGCCCCCGGTCCCCCCTCCACCCGTGCTTCAGACTTCAGAGGCCAACACGCCTCCTTCGGTTATGCCTCGCCGTAACCCTCCCCCTCCCCCTCCGGCATCCGTGGTCCCGACAGGACGTTTCCCGACCCCATTTTTGGCAGCCATAGGCCATAGTCCGTATCCATATCCTCCACTTCCCCCGAGAACGGGGGCTCCACTGCCGCCGGGCCAAGGGCCGTCGCCAGGTTACCCGAATCCCTTCCTGCCGCTGTACCCGTCCACGCCGCCTCAGAGGCCCCCACCTCGCCTCCCTCACAACCCCGGTTTTATCATGGAATGAAAACGCCACCGAGTCGTGACTCTCGTACACTGGTGCTGACCTTTACGATCCTTAAAAGCTGGAAACCCAACCGAAGTTGTGGGAAATCAACAGGGCTCCACGAACAAAGGAAACCGTTGGGGGATTCTGTAGATACCACCGGTTTTTGGTCCTTTCTTTTTTCTTTAAAGAGAAAATCGGCGTCTTCACCGAGGTTTTCCTCGAAAGGCGTCAACCCAGTGTAGAATTGGCGAAATGCTTCCATTGCAGACTTGCCTTGTTCTTCCAAGGAGAATCCAGCCATTGTGGCATGAAGGCCACTTCCCAGGAGATCTGAAGTTCTTTTTATTCCTTGATTTGGAAAGAAAAAAAAAAATCCCAGAAACGAAACCCCGTTCTAATCCCGGGACGGTAGCTTTTGAGTATATATGTTCTGCGAACAGACTCTCACCAAAATGGCAATACAGAGATTCGTGCTGGTAGCACAGAAAAGACGTTTAGGAGCTAGTGAGCTTGTGGTTCTGAGTTAGCAAATTTTTGTGTTAGCTGCAGTTGGGGGTGTGTGTGTGAGTTTGTTTCCCCACTAACGTAATCCAATCCATTTGAGCAACAGGCTGCCAATTTTCAGTGGACGAGGGTGGGAAAAATCAGCTATTTGTACCCAAATCAGCTATTTGTACCCGTGAAAACCTCAGGATGTAAAAAAATAGCAAATGGGGCTTTAGATCTCTGCTCTTGATGAGGGTAAGTCAGGAATATACAATCCTGTGCCACTGGAGCAAATATTGTCCTTCTGCTATTTGTACCTCTTTTCACCCTACATCCATTCACGACTTCTTGCTTGCGGTGAGGGTTGTGTGTCTCTGACATATTTTCCTAGCAGGGTTCTAGAAAGTCTTGGCTTTTAATGGGTCTGCGAATCCAGAAATACTCAAGGGTCCAAGCTTGACTTAATGCCTGTCTCTATCTTAGCCAATTAGTTCCTCCAGCTTTATATTCCCATTCCTTAATCCTAAACCAAAGTTACCCTATATCTGGAAACCTCATGTCTACTTCAGACTGGGGCAAAAAAATGTCTCTTTTTTTTTTCCCCTTCACCTTGCCTCTTCTTACAAATCATTTGTATGCTTCAGAAACTATGCTCTTCCAAAACAAACAAACAAAAAAGGAATCTCTCAAGGTGAAGAGGTTATTGGCTTTTTTAAAAAAGAAAATCAGGTATATAACCTGGTGTGAAAAATTCACATGTTCAGAAAAACAGGTTGCTAATCGTGTTTCCTAGTTAACCGGAGCATCCATCTCTGAGCTAGTGTCTTAAAGCTTTATCTCTCTGGCTGATTAGCAGCAGAGTTCTACATGAGACCTGTTCTTAAATGGGTTAGTTTTTATATACATGTATATGTCATCCAACACTTCCCTGTAATTGGTGCTGCCATAATCATGTTTGCAAAGAAAAAAAAAAGAGGGGGGCAGCTTCACACTGAAAGGTATTTGAAGAGGGTGATAACAAGGGGTAGAGAGTGCTGTGAGAAACAAGTGTGAAGTTGTGAGAACACTGTATCCATTGTCAGGTTCTGTTGCCAGTTTGATTTTCTGCTAATGCAGAAAGTCCTCTGATTTATCTTTCTGGAAGAACCCAGAGACCTTGATGCATCCATTCCAGCTTTTTTTTTCTCCTGCTTGTTTCGTTCTGTCACTTCTTAGGACTCTCTAATTCCTGTCCCCTTCATGGCGACTGAAGCTAATTTACCATGTTTACTTCACTATATCCTGGTTTGTCACACCACATCCGTGGCTCTTCTGAGTACTTTTTCTAAGTGATTCCAGAATACCTGTTTTAGAGCATCAGCTTAGGTTGAAAGCTTAAACAAAATTTGGGTTATACTCTTTTGTCATTAATCAAGCCGTTCTACGCTTGTAAAGCCAGGTGCAAAATGCCATTTTAGAGGGCAGATTTCCTTTTCTTGGGCTAGAATGATCCTTCTAAATTCAAAATGTTGAGATTTTCTCTGCCAAGACTGGAAGCTCCAAGCCAACCAGAGCCTGCTCTATGACTTAATTCAGCCCCTGAAGATGTGGGCAATTGTGAAAAAAAGTAGGAAAGTATTTCTGTTCCTTAAAAAGATGGTAAAGGTGTGCAAGTATCACTCAGCACTCACAGTATCTCTCGCTTTGTTTCTCCGCAACGTGAGCTGCATGTGAGGCACGCAAAGCTTCTAATTCCAGAGCGGCTCTGCAAATTGATTCCCTCCAGGGAGCCTGCCCCTACACGTCCTACACAAAGTTGCTCCTAACAGGGACAGTCCTTGGAGGGGCTGGGGTGCCCCAAAAGACGTCTGATGCTGGGAAAACCACCTCCAGGATCTGCCATTGGAGAGAATCATAAGCCGAAGCTTCAGGAACCGTTTTCGGATGTGTCTCAACCAGTTGGGTGCGCTTGAGCAGATGAGTCATGTGCCTTTTGAGCTTTGGGTGGCTTGCAAAATTCTCAGAGTCCTGGCAGTTTAAGTTGCAAAGACAAGTCTTGATGCCATTTGCATTCGTCTTTCAGGGTGTCGCACAATCACGCTTTTTTTTTTTTTTTTAATGGAATCGAGGCCTTGAGGCACCCATTTCTCAGCATTTCTCGGTTGTGACTTCCCACCTCTTTCCTTTTTTTTTTAATTGAGAAAAAGGCGTGACTCAAAAGTCTCTCTGTCATGCATCTTTTGTTCTTCTAGCACTGCAGATTAGCAACATTAATTGGATGTTTCTCCAACGTTAGAAGAGCGTCTAGTTTTTAAGAAGAAATGTCCCTTGTGTAGCCGATGCAGCAAGATACATTTACAGACAACTGGTCAGATCCTGGAGGCGTTCTCAGGTGCTTAATGTCTCAAGGATCACACATGCTCAATTCCAGTTCTCGCACATCAGCAGCAAGAATGTCTGAATTTCCCAAGGAAAGGAGAATGACGCCCATGTGTGAATTTTACAGATCCTTTTCTTGCTCTCCGATGTGACTCTGATCATAGTGTTCCTGTTAAGACAGTCTCTTCCTCCTTCCCAAAATATGTGCTACTCGTTTACTTTCCAAACAATATAATCATTGTGCAGAGAGACTTTGGCAGAGGCTGCTACAGCTGTGATGCGCCTAAATTTTGTATGGCACGTTAACGCTGGGCAAAGGGCTAACCCGTGCCTTAGAACCACTGGGTGGAATTTTGTCAGGAAGAAATTCCTTTTACAGTTCCTCTTTCTCATGTGGAGAGTTTGGGAGGAAATGGGTGATGGTATCCATTTGTCTAGGGTAGGAAAGGCAGATCTTTGGTTTTTGCTGAAAGGGTTTTTTATCAGAGAAAGAGTTTGGTCTCGTGGTAGGAGTTTTTCAAGCTGGTTGGGAGATCTAGAGGAAAGGCCACATTAAATCAGGGTGGCAATCTTTTGGCCCCAGGGCTGTGCAAAACTAAACAATAATAATAATTGGAGCTTGGGCCGAGATTGAAGCTGGTGAAGGTCCTTTCTAATTGCAGGTATTCCTGCTTACATTAATGTTAAAGGGCTGCTTGAAAAATATTAGGAGACGAACGGATCTTCGGCTCTTGCTTAATGAAGGCGAGAAAAGCTGTCGAGCCAGAATCTGTGAGTTTTGGAGAAAAAAATGGAAACCCAAATGCCAGCGGAGATCGTAGGGATGGTACAGAGATTGTTGCAAATAGGTTGCTCCCTCTATTTTTTGCTCCGTAGGTTTACACCAGCAACTAGCCACTTTTTGCAGGTAATCAAGATGTGATGGACAGAAGCATCAAGCAGACTTTTCTCCAGTGGTCATTCCGTCTAGGAACTGATTGTCAAGAGCAATAGGCCAGTATTAGTGAAGTACTTCAGCCTTACCACTTCCAGGACCTGGTGATGACTTTAAGCTACCTTCAAAGACATTGTTCTTAAACACAGAACCAGCCACACTGCTTCCGGAAAGCAGTTTCAACAGCCTAACGCAGAATTATTTCCTCTTTGTGCTCAGGGTGGAAAGTTACTCACTTTTGATAGGAAGGTTTGCAATAGTTTTGTTTACGCGAGTCCTGTTTTTAAAGCGGCCCTTTAAAAAAAATAGCCAACTGCATTTGAAGCATAAGAAGCCATGTTTTCCCTAACGGGATTATCCAAAAGGAAAATAGCTGCAATTTTATACTGTGGTCTTAATTGCCCCTTTTTTTTTCTACAAAAGTATACAACTGGAGAGAGAAGTTTGTGGCGGTATGGAATGTCTCGGTAATCTGGGCTGGCGTTAGCAGTGGCCTTTATCTTGATTAGTATTTGCATTGTGGAAAAGCGTGTACAGATTTTGTTGGTTAGCCTTTATTCCAGCATCAGATCTGCAGACCACACCTGTATCACACCTGTTCAACTTGGTTGTACAACTTTAAGATTGTGATCTCAAGACCAGCCTCCGAGCTGACAGTTGTTCCCTTTTTCTTGTAGAATTGCTGTTTTATAGAAACAAATTTTGGGGTTGCAGTGATTACTCATTAAAAGAAAATCCTAAATTTTGTACAAACGGACGTTGCTGGTTTTTTTTTGAACCAGAAACCTGAATGTTTCGATTCTCAAACTCTTGCAGCATGCCGGCTGTTTGCGGTCAAGATCTGAATCCTATCCATCTGATTTCAACCATCAGAGAATGGTAGCCAGCTTATTTAATTGTGCTGCTTTTGGGCTGACCTGATTTTGTAAGAAAATGGAGCAAAACAACGCTTAATTGGATTTCAAGGCTAGAAATTCACTAACAAAATATCTTAGCGGGCCTATATCAAATAGCAATCATATGATATTTTCTAGCATTGCACAGTCAAGATGGACAATGGGTTAATAAAGATGATCAATGAGTAAAAAAAATTAGATGTGAGAAAACATACAGAACTTCTTTCTGTCCAAAATTTAGCCTCGTAAATCAGATTCTTGCTTGGCCATCTGAACAGAAATGAAAAGTCAGAAGCTGCTTTATTTTCCAGCTATAAAATCCTTTGGTAACCGGTACAGCTGGAACAAAGAGATAATGGCTATTTAGGTCCCGGGAGAAAACTTGCTTTGCTTTCTATGCTGGGAAGACAATCCTACCCCATCTGCAACCCCAGCCAGTCAGTTGGCAATAAAGGAGAATTTTTGTAGCTCAGGGTTGAAATGAGGAGTTCTTGATGGTCTATGTGCCTGGTGGTTTTCTTGCAGACGTTTCATGACCCAACTAGGTAACATCATCGGTGGCAAAAGAGAATGGGGTTTGCTTGCAGTACTGATGATGCTACTTAGTCTGCAAGAAAACAAACTCGGAGAGAACGAAGGACCCCTAGCCAGTTGCTTAATACCAGTCATCAGGGTGACCCCAATAGGAATTCACAACCTTCATGCCCAGACAATGACATTCCCCCCCCCCCAAAATGACACAATCCAGTTTCAGCTAAATCATTTTAATAAGCAGAAATGTTTTAATTGTAAAGATTTGGTTAAGAACAGTTCCCATATCTGAGTTTCTCTCTTTCTCTTTCCTTTGCAAAGAAGCCCCCCCCCCTCTAAATTTCAGTTACTGAAGTAAGTGGGGTGGCTTTCTTTTTTGCATGGTATTCCTAAGCAAGAGTTTAAGGCAGTGCTTCCCAACCTTTTTCCTTCATTACCCCTTCCCCCCCCCAAAAAAAACGCTTATCAGAAAATCTTATGCAAATTCGTTCCCTTCCTTTAGCTCCGTCGTAACTTGGGACGTTGCTGCACGATTGGTCGCAAACCCGAGGACTATCTGTATTCTAAAAAAGAATATGGACCGATATTGGTCATTTCAACCAATTGGTCATTTCCTTGATTTTCATTTTGTCAGGAATACTTTGGGAGACTTTTAAGACCGCTTGGCAACCTTTTAACTCAATTTAAATCTCCCTGTTGTGATGGGGAATGTGTGTCGTTACCCAAAGAAAACAAAACTACTTTTAGCTAATTTGGGGGTAATTTCACCCAGGTTTGGGAAGCACTGGTTGAAGGGATTTGAAAACCACTGAGGGTTTTTTTTCCTCCTCTGTCTAAATTCAGTCCTTAAATATGTACTATACAATCTCTAATTCCATCCCCCTCCCTTTTTATATGCTTCAGATCTCAGCATAAAATACTACAAAGGACCATCTAGAAATTCACATTTCTTTTAAAAACATCTTGGTAGAATAATAGATACACCAATATTTACTCGAAATTTCCCAAATTATTCCTATTGCTTATAAATAATTATCAGCGAGCACTTAATTCCCTTTCCTGTAGGGGGTCTGCCTTCCCGTAGATGGCAGTGGGCAGAAGAGACCTTTCAGAATTGGCGCTGGAAGGCAAGCGAGATCCAGTTGGTATCTGTTTAAAACACAGACGTTTAAAGGGTTCGGAATGTCTCAATGCCATACAAAGACTGAAGGGTGCTGACATCTTAGTCCTCCATCAAAAACCTCTGATGTTTTGGGGGTACCGGCGAAAAACCAGCAGATCCAAGAATTGAATTCCTCAAGGATGGGTAGAATTTGAAGCTGGACCCCCAATTTTCCTGGCCCTGGCTTCTACTCTGCTAAGCTGCTGGCTGGCTTTCCCTTAGAAGTTAACCACGTGGGCTTGGTAGATGCCATCCTGTGCCAACTGAAAAAGAGAAGTAGCAAAAAAAACCCACAATTTTTTGCAAAAAGCTATCATTGGGGGGGGGGAACCAAATTCCAGGGAGAAAAGGCCCAGAATTATGGCTGGTCTGATATAGTCCCTCCCTTCTGCCCATGCTAAAGGTGGGATTAAGGGGCACCTCCCTGTGCTCACCTCACAGTCCGACTTGCTTGGTTTCTGTGCCATGGCAGGCCTCTGCAGGGATGCTGGCTTACGAGCGATCGTGGGCTTCTTTCCATCCACGTTCTCGGTGTAAAGACCAGCCAAGGCATAATGTTGCCGCCTCAGCTCCCCAAGACGCAGCCTCTCGTTTTCCAGTGTCTTTTCCAATTCTAGAACCTTCACCTGCAAAAGATAGGATCTTCTTGGTCTGATATCCACCATTTGTTCTCCTAGGCCAACTTTAGGTGTCCATCCTTGGCCAATTTTAAGACCTCTGGACTTCAACTCCCAGAATTCTGGGCGTTGAAGTCCACAGGTCTTAAAGTTAGCCAACCCTGTCCTAGAGAGAACTCCATCCTTGTGCTACAGTTAACACAAGAATCTGCAATTGGGTTGTTATCAGAAAAGATTATGCTGGTGGAAGTCTTCTCGGACCACCACTTTTGCGGAGAGGTGCTACATTCAGAAGTTCTCATCATTTCTACTCAGAGAACTGAACAGCCTTGAGAAACTCAACATAACTGCCTTAGCCAAACCTTCCTTTTAGGATGTGCTTCTTCAAAAATGAAATTAAATCCCAATACTTCTATTAAGAAATTCCACATTCGCACGATACCTACCTGGGTCTCCATCTCCTCTTTCTTGAGTTTGATCAAGGACATCCCGGAAAAGTCCATGGTGTCTGGTTGGAAGAGCAAAGAAGATGTTCATTTCAGATGTGATCATGACCAAATCTCTCCAGATGTTCTGCAGTCGTAGCAGAAATGGAAAGCTTGCCCTATTCTGCAATTTTGGACATTCCACAATTCTTCACCCCCCACTTTGTCTAAATAAAACCTCCACCACGTCTCTCTCCAACTACAGAAGTTCCAGGCCATTTGCTCTATAAAATCATGGACCAAGCCTGCAGGCCAGGAATTTCTATTTTCTTGAAAGTAAAGCTGTGATCCTCACAGATCCAGCCCTACAGAATTTTATCTAATACACCCGAAATAAAACCACAATTTAAGTCTCAGTTAGTCCTCACTTAACAACCAAAATAGAGTACAGAATTTCCTGCTCCAGCCAATGAGGTTGCCCAGACTGGAAACACTGCCAATCAGCCAAATTGAAGTACAGATGGGAAACCTGCCAACACACCAAGTCTCACCTTTCTCTTCTACCTGCTCTTGACCGGACTTGGTAGACGCCATGACATTAGCCGCCATCTCGTTGACCGTACGCGAGCATTCCTGGAGTTTGCTGAGGTTCTTGCTGTGCTTCTCTGCTTTCACCTGGCATCCAAAACCAAACACCCCACCCAAAACCTCAATAATTTATTTGAAGGACTGTCTTCTGGTTACATCGACCTCACCCACCAGAACAGGGAGGCTAGGAAGGCTATGGATCCTCTCTCTAAGGGGAGGTCCATCTAGTGGGACCACGCAGGGCCTTCTCAGTGGTGACTCCTGCCCTATGGAACATCCCTGCAGAGATAAGATTGGCTCCCACTTTGACACTCTTTTGGGAGGTCCTGAAAACCTGGTTTTGCCAATGGGCCTGGGGACCCCAGAGTGGGCTGGAGCCCATCAAGTGGCTTATTTGATTAACCGTTCTCACCAGGGACATAGGGAGTTATTGCTTCTTATTGTTTTATATTAAGTTTTTATTGTCGCTCACAATGAGTTGGGCAGCCCTATACATTTTCTTAAATAACTCCCTTTTAATGCGTTGCGAGAATAATATGTGCTTCGGATCCCTTCCAACAATAGAAACTTCACAACAAAGAATCAATCCAGAGGTTGCAGCTGTTTCTCTTTGAGGACCACTTTACCTTGGAGGCGGCTACGAGCTGAGCTGTGCTAGCTGCAATCTCATGCGAACAGACAATCAGCTCCTCGTACTTGCCGGTGTGCAAGACGACTTTATCAGCAGATTCTCTGATGCGAAAAAAGGAAAAATGCATGTAACCTGTGTCAGAGGAAACAAGCCAGGCAGGGAAAGACAGACGAGAGGCGATCCAGATACCTACACGAGCTGAGTTGCTCCCCATCCCACAGCTTTGGATGCCGAGATCAGCCCTTCCGTCCAACAGGAGTTCTTGGCGTAAAATTCCTGGGGTGTTGCTGCCCCCTAGTGTTGAAGAGAAGAAATGTATTTTTGTGATTGTGTCGTATGGACCCGCAAGAGCAAGAAAATCCAGAGAAAAGGATCCATGGTGGGAATTTAAAAGACATGGGTCTCAACAAGCTCTAATCTATCTCAAATTTACAATAGCTACAATAATAGATTTTCTAGGATCCCAAGGAGGAGGGAAGGAGCCTGTTTGAAATGTCACAAACAAAAAAGTGTCATGAAAAATTTGAGAGAGAAGAGAGAGTCCGACTCCAGCAGCCGATAAAGTCAATCCACAGTCTTTCCCCAAATATTTAATTCTCTCCATTCTTTTATTTTTTTAAAGTAACAGCAACAAAAAATGGTCTCACCCTTCCGCCTTCCACAATCTCCTTCTGCAAATATGTGGAGGTCAGTACAAGCTGCCGGATGGCCTGAATGCAGACAAAAAAAGCAGAAGAATTTCATTGAATTCTGAGCAATTTCTATCATGGCCCCATCAGCTTTTAATAAAAGGGTTTTCCAGCTATCCACAGGTCTGACCAAAAGTAGGTAGCAAGGAAATTTCTTGGAATTATTTTTAATGATTGCGGTCACTCACCTTCATTAAATCTGTGCAGGAATTCA